AGCCGAGTATCAACTAAAATATAATTGCTTCTAAAAATCACTCTTTGATCGCTTTTATTTCTTCTTGGAAAAGTTTGTCATATGCCCTTATTTTTCTTTATGCTCCTTCTGTTATTCCGTTTTTGGCTATCTGCCAGTTCTAATCATCTTTTGCAGTTGTTCGGCCGCTGTTAGTTTTTCCCTGCATGTCTGCGCTCTTTGCTTTGCCCTCTGCGTCTTTTGGCTGTCTCCACTCTCCTTTTTATAGTGTGTGTGGACGTTATTTGCTCGGCTTGCGGTTTCCTCTCCAAATTTTTCTCATTGTCTAACAAGCGAGCGTTCAAGTACTTGAGGGAGGTTTTACCACAGATGGACCAATGGTGCTGAATACGGATTTTCGTGAGTGGTTATAAGCAAGTTGTCCTCAAAACTGGCGACGTCGTGGATGCGCTGGGCCAGCGCAGGTCCACATCGGATTCTGCGGGAATCCGGAATCGGGAATGCCCACCCATAACAAATGTCAACATGTGGGCTGTGGTTTCGGACCAAGTTGCCGGTGCCGGCAAATGGGATCTCTGCCGACCTCCGCAATTGGTGTAGTTGGTATAAATTCTGATTGCGTGATCGTTATGGATCAGGAAGTGTGATGGTAGGCATTTTTGAGGGTGCAACCGTCCCAGCCACCAGCGACCTCTCTCATTCACGAGTAATTCACCATTCTTATTCCGAATTTGCTGTGGAGCATACGGTTGACATCGTCGGTGACGACGGCCGAACTGTCATAAGCCAGTTAAGCAACAATATCGACATTCTTTGAAACCGAAGCTGACCATTAGTAAGCAACATAATGGTTCTTCATGGATGAAAAATCAAACTGCGGGAATTTGAGGCAAAAAAGTAAAACGGAATCATAATGCTGAGGCAAGCACTCATGAATCTAGAATGGAGAAATTATTGGCACGCAATTAATACGATGAATATGCAGTATGCGCATTCGCGCCCGTTTTAATTCTATCACAGACGAGCGCGATTTTTGTGCATACGGAAATCGAAGAATTGTATTATAACGAACAACACAATGTTTACAGGTTCTGCGCGTGTAGTTGCCTCACAGACGAAGCACCTTGACTTTGTAAAGAGTCCGCACAAGGGACAAAACTTGCACAATCTGCTAGTATTTTCCTTATTTTTAGGGAAGCTCAGGGCAATAGGATAACCGCTGTTTAATTGTGTGTGCGGCTATAAGATGACTTCCTTAGCATACTTGCCGTTATTAACTACTTTCAAGTCCCAGTAAAATCACCGCAGATATGCCACAACTGTAAATCGACGAGACCATGCTTTGGAATACGCTCTTCAGTCAAAAAGCGGGTTCGAGTTTTACTGTCGCTCTGCATATCTGCAGAAGGGCGAAAATCAGACGGATGACTGGAATAAAAGATAAGGTCAAACGAACCTGTCACAATGCTGTCCATATTTTTGTTGCGTGGGGTATGGAACCACTTGCGATAAATGAAGCGCCCTTGTGCTGCCCTGGTAGCTTAGACTCTGGCATTGGTCCAAAAGTCGATACTGTAAATGACGTAATAATCAGCTCAAATATAGGGGCAACTACAGAAGTTCCCTGTAGGCTAAGACTTCAGGCAGTCTAAATTCTTGCCACTAATTTAAAAGTGGCTGCTTTGGCTCGGGTGTGTGCCCCCAAAGCAAAACGGGACGAGGGAGTTCCGTAAAAACAATCGATGAACGCCCCTCTACCAGTGGGATCATTGTTCATCCATAACTGAGAACTTCAATGGTTCGAAAACTCCCATTAACAAGGCAGTTCCAGGAGGATGCAAGACGAATTGTCTGGCCTGTGGTTCTGGTTTCCTCTACAAGGAGGCGACGAAAAATACTGTTATAATTAAAAAGGTTTTAATATAAATCGGACGTAGGAGTGCTTTATTCCGCAGCCCGGATTTATATGAGTGTTGGTATCCCGAAAGCAGGTGAGTCAGGATTTTTCAAAAATATACTGTAACATAGTCGGGCATGAAGCTGGTTTCCCTTTAATTGGCGGCTAACCCGAAAGGAGTCTTGACAAGCGAAAATACAGTTTTGTCTTTATCGAAACTCTTGTTCAGGACTAGCACTTATGTATAAAGCCTTGTAAAATACGATATGTTTCTGAAAATCATAACATGAAGAAGGGCACAGCGTTTTCCTCTTCAGGGTGTGTTGAAACACGTTTACACGGATGGTTCATAGAACCTTTAAGCTCGGCACTCGAGAAGAGAATTGGCCATACTCCCTAAGGCCAAGGCATACGATCGCTCCAAGTGTCCGACACATGAACTAGAGTTAATACCGGAGTGTCTGTAAAGGAGACATGTACTCGTCATAGACAAAGTTCTAATAGTTCATTTTGGCTGTACAGGTCCCTTTGAAAATACAACACATATTTACATGATTACTTGATATTATGCATCCTTAAGATCCAGAAATGCATAAAAATGTGTTTGAAGGCGCGCACGTGCAGTCCACTTAAATAAATGGTACTGAATAAACTTTGATTATTGCAATAAAAACACTTGTAACTCTATACCTGATTTGTTCCCTCACCGATAGGATATTATGGCAACGCGTTATGCGCGATTTTAAATCAACAATTGTATTTGATGCTGATCAGACGTCGTCGACTGGATACATGTATATCGCCTTGATATTGAGACTAAATCTTATTTTCTGGTGTCACATATATCTCACTTTAACATTCCGCACTCGTTATAATTTCCTGGTGGCTCTGATTTATTTCTTAAGCGTGGATATGTTCCAGCTGTGTAGATTGTCAATTTATTCGGATACGCTGCGCACATTTAAACACATCGCATAATTTAGTTGAGGTTGTAAAAAAAGTTGTCCTATCATTGCTGTTTTTCTGTGCCTCTTAGAAAATTTTTATCTGTTTTTACGTTTTGTACCACGCACTCAATGCGATAAAACTAACGACGGTAACGTCTGTTTATTTATTATATTAAAGAAAAGATACGTTGGAGACTTAAATTTGTTATGGAAACCTTTTGCCGTTGATTACAGCAGCAGGATGGGACTTTTAATTTAAATCTGCCCAACGTTACCATACGGTAACGTTGGCAAACGGACATATCCAAACGTAAACGGTGGTTGACGGAACCATACCTAACTCCTAAGGACCGTTGATTCTCTATTTATAACGCAAGCGATCAAGGAGTCTACACGTTTTTACAGTAAATTAAGCAAGGTGCATTCTCACAACAACTAAATTACTACCATGGATTTATTTTTGGCCGATGGCATGAACGTGTTCACCTACTGAAAGCCCAGTTGTTGGTTTCATGTATGAACGGGGGTATACAGGGACAAACGACGGCACCAACGGCTAGAATTTTGGCATATGTTCTTGTTCGCCTCAGTCCTCCACAATTATGACAAGTCCGTATTCCAGCAGAGAAGATTAACACAACAAATGAGACATTGAAATTGTTAACAAGAAAGTCAAAAATTCTGGCGTAATAATTTTTATTACTCTTTTCTTACTATGTTCTTAGATGCCGGAGTTATCTCGACCGTACGGATAAAGTGAATTTGATGCCTTTTTGACTTAAATCTGTTCTATAAATATTCAGTTATTTATCTCATCCTCCCCTTTTCTTCTCAGCATTGAGAGTCTCAATGCCATATACAAATTTGTTGATGAAGACAACGAAGATGTATTTAGTCACATATGTACCAAAACAGAAGAAAAGGCAAATACTGATTAACTTCTGTTTTCGTTTGTGCTATTGTCCTTTTCAAACACGACAGCTAAATTGATTTCGTTGCTATCTAAGTCGACAAAAATCTTTAAAAATGGAGAGAGCTGACAAAACTTGAGTTAAACAAATGCGGCCGAAGAAACTTATTTTTGTCTTGGGTAGCTTAATGGCTTTTCAGAAAGTGACTGAACCGAGTAAAATCACAAAACCGATGTTGACGTAAAGCACCCATCTGTCTTGCCGAAAGGTTATCAAAAACTACTTTCATTAATTTTCAGCTTCGCTCTGTTAATTTTTACCTATCATGACCAATAAATAGCTGGGAACTTTCATGTATTACATATATCCCCATAGTTGTTGCAAAGTAATCTGAAGGTCTGGTAATCGCTGGTCATTTTCTCTAAAAGCTAGTTTTCTTCATAAAGAATGCATCAACTATTCTCCTTTGCTCCACCGTTGTTCTTCAAAAGAGTCCTTCTATGCTCTATCGTGAGATGCTCTTGTTTTTTCCAAATAACCACCTTCGTCTTGCGTATGCTCAGTATTTCATAGTTATTCATTACAGACGACAGTGTAAAACGGTTTTAACACACGTTCCGTACTCAGAACTTAAAAATGATAAGTTGAATTTGCCGTAGTCACACTGCTTTTCTACGAACATGCTCCTGCATTAAGTTTAAAAAAATCGATTAGCGACCACCAGCCCCTGTCCAAAAAATGATCTGTCACCTTGAGCGCTAATGATTGAGCCATTTGAGTAGGATCACCAAGCCTTCTATTGAGAAATACGGATTATGGGTAACGTGGCCTATGCTTTGTTCATATAAGTTTTAAGATATTTTTCCTGGATTTTCTATCCTCTAGGGGGATAGTAATGCCTTTATCCTATATCGATTGTGAGGCAGATTCACCTGCTATATTACAGGCTAATTACTTGCACGCCGAAATCTACAATTACAGTCTAAATCGGTAAAAGTAACAACTGATCTTGCTGTATGCAACTGCATTCTGAACGCTTCGTCCTTAAATTAGAGCTGCATTCGTTTGATTTTGCAAAGCTGGCGAGACAATGCTGCTAGTATTCTTTGCATCCTTTTTTAGAAATTTATCTAAAATCAGTCAGTTTCAAGATGGACAAAAGATGGAAGGAGGCAATTACAAACTCTGACTCGAAATGTCTTCTTGAAAACTGGGCAGAAGAGGTAGGAGGGCCCTTTCTAACTTCACTGTTTGAGGCTTCAGCGTATGTGCAAAGGACTGGACAAGACATGGATAAAAGCGGGTCCTCAAAGTCATCCAGGCCTTTTCTCCGTATTCAATACACCAGTCGGCGCCTGCGGCACCACCTATAGGTCCCATTACACTCCAAAGACCAGGCCGCCCGAAGATATAGGTAATGATGCTCATCCAGACTGCTACCAGAATGTCCCATTTTCACATAATTTTCATGAGATGCAGCTTACTACTGTTAATGTTCGTACAACAAAGTTAACTTTGTCAGAAGATAATCTTAGTTGGCCGCAAATGACCGGAATTGAGGTCAAGGTTAAGGGAAATTCGGAACTACCCTATTTTTTATAATAAAACGAACAACGTCGGGTGGGATATGCGCTGGCTGCAGTATCTTTCACATTTACCATCCATATGGTTTCTGATTAGACTATAAACATCAAGTTTGAAAAATAATAAGAGACTTTCAATTTTCGCACGACAGTAATCGTGCGGTACTCTTAAGACTGATTCTGCGTGCCGCGTCAGTAGTTGCACCCAAACCAACCTGCAGTCCCGGGAGAAATAGGGGTCAGTCTAACTCGGACTGAGATGGTAGCCACCTCACTGGGCACTTCTCCTTACGTTCTTTGGCGTACTTTCAAACGCGAAAACAGCATTACTGATAAAGTCAAGAGGAATGGAATGACTATTTTGACTTGTTAGCTGACAGCAGTCAGAAATACCCAACCCCACGGTATGCAACCCCCGAAGTCCTAACTCGCGGGCTGTTGGTCAGAAGCCCAACACTGCAACTATCGAGCAACGAGCTCATCATTCTGTCGGTTGTCTCATCGGTTAGGATGTTGGATTTCCAGACAACAGGCTTCGATCTCCAGTCTTAGGGGCCGTTTATCTCAGTGTTGACTGTAACCGACTGATGACGGCCAACAAGCTGGAGATGACCATTCAAGTCTTCCTTGTCTTTGTCGGCAATGCTATTCTGCCCATATCACGCGCCTCTGTGAGGCTGTTGACTCGGGTTACCTGACGGCCTAGTGCCACGCCTCTAACCATTGGGCCACAGATTCGTTGTCCTGTCGGTTTCTATCGGGAATATACACTGGTAGAGGGACGTTCACCGATCGTCCTTACATGTCGCGAGTTCGAGTCCCAAGAGTTTCACACCTTGGGGTTGGTTACGACTAACTGACGACAGCCAATGAGCCAGAACTGGTCATTTCAGTCTTCCTTGTCTTTGTCGGTCATAAGATTCTGTCTATATAATGCGCCGCTGTGCGGCTGCTGATTGAACTCGAGAGAGAGCCCACAAGAGCACAACGGAACGAGGGAGTTCCGTAAGAATAATCGTTGAGCACCCCTCTGCCATTAAAGATGGTTTGCGAATTCGTTCACCCGAAGGCTCTCCTGGATACCTCCCTTGGGAAATTATGACTGTGAATGGTGTTTTCATTCCTGTTCCTTTGCTGTTGGCTTAGAAGTTCTCGAAACGGAAGTCCAGAAAAGCGAAGTTATTCGTTTCCAGCATGGGCCTGTGTCTATCAAAATTCTGGCGAGATTCATGAACAGCTGGAGCGTAGGCCCGGGGAGCAAACCTCTCCAACTAAAATCTCCGTTAATTACCTGACAGATTTTCCGCACCACCTCCGGTGGTCTTCGCAGACAGCGAACCTGGACATGGAGTTTTTGGGTATCAGATTTTATTCGTCACTTAGCAAATTTAAGTGACAGAGAGAGTGAGCGATATAACAGTGTAGCGTTGGTACTTCTTTGAAAATCTCAAACTCTTTGTGCATGCTTTCGAGGATCTATAATCGACATTTTTGTGGGGGGGGAGCTCAAGGTTTTTGTCATTCGAATCCTCTTTTGAGAAGAAAAACCGTTTTTGCTGTTTGGTATGCTATGGCCTTCTAGACTATGTCCCATACACTTACATGAACACTGCTGCCTGCTTTAACTCGTAGGGGCCAAGACGAAACACAGAAGTCATGAAATTCGCGCGGCAGTCAAGTACGTCCTGCGTACACTTTTTAGCCTTTAATCTTCTGTTTTCTTTTTTCCCTTGTACCTTCCTTTAGTACGTTTTGCCGGGAGGTTTGTGAACTATTTTGTCAACTCGTGTCGTTTTGGCCTTGAATAATATTTGCCATAGAGGCGGAACACTGACTGAGTACCGGTGGTTGAATAGCATTTTTAAATAAAAGGTCTCTTACTTACACAAGTCGTATGTTAGTTAGGCGTGTTACCTGTCGGAGAAGACGGTAGTCTCATAGCCTTCCCTGCGATTAACAATCTAATATATACTCTTATTTGTGTGTGTCCTTCCCTTACCTACGCAGTTCTCTGTCGGTAGACCTAACTGGGATGATGACACTCTAATATCGATCAATGATTTCCTAATACAAATCCACTCTGATCGGGTAGTCAGACTGAAAAACGTCTTTTCGGCATTTCTCGAGAGAGTGGGCGAATAGGTGTCACAATAATGGGGCTTAGTCAGTTAACGTGTGCGCCTGTCCTTTTTCTCACCCTCCTAGGAAAGAAATTGAAGCCGAAGAACAGAAACTGACGTTTCCGACAGACTATCGGTCCCAGACCACTGTTGACTTTTTCAATAACCCCGTTCCTGCCAAGCCCAAAAGAAGTCGAAGGGTGAGTTCGTACATCACTGTTTGCCTGCATGGAACACATACAGTGGGTGGTCTAACTCATAAACTATGATCAAAATTTTAATGGGTAGTGTGGCATACATTTGATGTTGTTATTTTTGCATGTTGATTTGACTGGAGGTAAACAAGGACTTTTATTTAAGAAGAATTCATTTCAAATTTATTTTATCGAAAGAAGACAGGCAAGGTTTGGGCGAAAACAGACGTTTTGTAATATCCAACCAATTTCCAAAGCCTCTTGTGTATGATTCGCGAAAATCCCCATGGCAGTGCTCGGAAGACATGTTAGCAAGCACACGTTAACTTTTAATAAATTATCCTGGGATGCAGTCAAACATCTCATTGGTAAGAAAGTCAATTAAAGCTATATTTGAAATCACGAGCGGGGCGAGATCAGAAGGCCGCGGAAAGTCGCATCTGGTTAGACAACCTTCGACCAAGGTAAGCGCCGAGCCTATATGAGAATCTTCTGCGCGCACAAGCTCGGCACAAGTTCCAGACGCATCCTCTGTTGCTAACAGACGCTGGTCCAGTAGCTCAGGATAACTAGCGTCCGTTGGCAACAGCGGAGACGGCCGCAATCAGGTTACGACCGTCGGCCATTTAGGCACTCACCGTGTTCAAAGGCAGACTAACCACGTACAACTTTCCGCGCCCTTTCGTCTTCGTCTCGCCTGTGTTTTAAATATAGCTCTAATCGACTTTCCAGTCGCTGAAGTGTTTGACGGTACCCCGTTTCGATATAATTGTACTGGCCTGAGGAGAATTTATCGAAAGAAAACCTAGGCTCGCCAACTCGTCCTCCTGTTTAAATGCATTGTACTATAGAAGAAAATTAATACGGTAATGATGGGCCGCGATCAGTATTCTATTTTGGTGGGCGTAATTTTAACCTGAAAATATACGTCATGCAAGGACTTGTCGAATCGTGCGTTGTATATCCGGGTCTTAAAGGCCACTAGAAAAAGCGTCGAGATCTTATTTCGTAACCGTACCTGTTAGGGTTAGCGTTTAGGTTTAAGAGTTAAGGGTAAGGGGTTGGGGCTAGAGGTTATGCTTAGGGGTTAGGGTTAGGGATTAGGGTTGCACCCCCTATTACAACTGGTCTCGCATGACAGGCGGCTAAGGCTTGTTTACTGCAGGCACGGCTACGAAATAAGATCCGACCAAAAAACCCATTAACCTACTACTATTCCGGAAAAGACTTGGGTTCAGTAAAAAGGACCATCGAAGGACAATTTGGTTTTCCGCACAGGCCAAAACGAAACGCCCGTATTTTGTCCCGATCAACCCTTCTGGCATCGTATGTCATTGCTTGCAAAACTTGCCGGACACTGATGGCTCCTCTGTCCACGGTCGCCTGCAGGGACCCAACGCAAAACGGAAATGCCTGTTTGTCTTCGGCAACCCGACCAGATCGATAAGCCTCTGTCTCGCAGCAGCAGCCCAACTGACAGATTGTTGAGCTGAATGGCCGATCAGAGCCGGGCTCAGCGTTCAAGTGCTTCCGGCTCAGGATTAAGGTGTAACTGACTGTGGGCAACGAATGGGCAATTAAAGGCCGGTCCAGCTCCCGTTGACCTTCTTGGAAGTTGTTTACAATGCTACTTTGAGGAATTTATGTCCCTCTTCAAATGCTGTTTAACTGCAACCACAAATATAGGTGGCGCTAGGAAGTCAAGCACGAGAGTACTGAAGTAAAGAGCATGTATTTGTAAGTAGCGTAAATATTTCTAGTTTAATATGTAGGCTGCTAGCTAAGAGTGCAACAGGCCATACGCAGACAACTGTTTCACGGTCGTTACCGATCATCAGTACGCCGTAGACCCTATGTATTATACGTGGTATGTGTTCTATGACAGCCTTCGTTGTCGCCAGTAGCTAGCTGGCGGGCGGACAGTAAGAGATAGAGTGAGATCCTGACCGCAACTATGAGGTTCACACGCCTACTTGACCTAGTTCTAGTTTAGCCGACGCCCATCATTACTGGGCCTAACATTCCGCCGTATCAAAATCATTTATACTCCCCGCAAAGGCTTCTAGACGCACTGACTTTTACCCGCTGACGGCCACAGCCGTCCATGCTCCACTTGAGCATGTCCCAATCCTGAGCTAATTCAACACAGATACAACTTGGAAGCAAGACACTCGAATCTGCTCTTAAAAAGATAAAAGCGGTTAAGACCCCCTGTCTAACTCTCGGACACGACTTCGATAGTTCCACCGCCGTGACCGTCGATGTCCACCGCGCGCTCCACAACAGGATTAGGGTAGGAACGGTGACTTGCGCGTGATTTCTTCTATATTGGTAGTAGGTCTGCGCAGCATTTACCACACTCTCTCCTCCTCCTCCTCCCCATTTGGGCCCAAGACATAGTCAAAAAGACTGGGGTTGGAAGAGGGCACAGGGGACTGGCACGGTCGGCTTCGCATCTACAGTAGGTGTGCTAACTCATGAAAGGTTAGCCGAAATTCTGAAAAGCGTTTTCGTTTCGAAAAGATTACTTAAGTACGGCTGCAAAATTAACCATCATACAGCATAATTCTATAATAATTCAGTCACCTCAGGATGCCGGCCTCCGAACGGACTTTGTCCCGGCCACATGCATAAACCATGCTCTGTAAAAATGACTACGCAAGTAGCATGAATTTTATTTATTGGTTTTCGGCGCCCTTTAAAATTCAATTATATTTCATAGAAATCATGCTAAAACTATTCCTTCTTTTACTCATTTGGTAGAAAATTACTTCTTCGAATCCTGTACTGAAACAAAGGGTAAAAGTTTGTTTCCAAAACTTCCAGTTCCCCAATAATTTTGAACACGACCTGCCGTTACGCTTGCATTCAGGGCTTCCAAACTACAAGCCGTATATTTTCGGCGAACAAATTTATTCAGGATTTGGAAATATTTTTAAAAACCAAATTATATCCTTCCTTCAAGCATTAAATTAGAAAGAGAAGTAATTTCCTACCGAATGAGTTAAAGGAGGAGTATTTTTGCATATTTTCCGTGAAATATAATTGAATTTTTAAGGGCATCGAAAATCGATTAAAAAAGCTCATGATACTTAAGTAGTCATTTTTTACAGAGTATAGTTCTTGCATGCTGCCGGAAAGAAATTCGTTCGAAAGCCAGCCTCCCGAGGTAACTGAATTATGATAGAATTATGCTTCAGGGTGATTAGTTTTCAAACCCTACTTAAGTAATCTTTTCGAAACGAAAAGGTATTTCAGAATTTCGGCTAACATTTCGTGAGTTAGCACACCTACTGTAGACGTACCACCACACCCCCTGATCCACAACAAATGCTTGACCAGGATTTTAACCAACAACAACAACAACACCAATAGGAAGGGGGCGGCAAGTATCCAAAAGTGCGCGGCATGAGTCCGAAACTGGGCCTGCCACCATACTCTCGAATGTTGGCATCTGTTATGGGTACTCATTTCCGATGACACTTGCCAGAATTCGCTGTGAACCCTGCCCCGGCCCAGCGCATATAGGCCCTACAGTCTCTGGCATGACTCGACCTCACCAGCACTCGCACTGGTCTCGCCTGCGGCCACTACTGTTTTGAACAGAAACACGGTGTTCTGTACACCATAAATCCCTCTCTCTGATGTCTCCTATTTTATCTTGTTACTTGGAGTCTGACTTTGCGATTGTGGCGCATTAAGTCTGCTCACTACATTTGCCAGAATGGTAATCAATGATATATTATTGATAAAAACATTTAATGGAGATTTTTCAGACGTTAACTCCTCGCAAATGATGGCTACCTCAGACTGTCCTCTGAATGCGAAGAAGACGGGGCTACACATTCGCCTAGCCATGCGATTTCTTTTAAATATAACCATCAAACTTCCTAAAATTTTAGTTTATGTGTGAACTCGCGACAGAACAGCCCGTGACGTTTTGGACGGACCATTATTCAAAGCTCCATGTAAGATGTATTTCTGTACTTTTTTAAAAATTTCTATCGAATATCTCTAAGCAATTATGTGAAGCTAAGCTGCTCTATTCTGAAAAAGGGTACTCAAGATTGCGGTCTCTACTTTTCTTTTGCGGCCATTTATCTTCGTCGGAAATGTTTGATTTCTGCAGCTCTCGAAATTGCGTAATTAATATCTTTTCCGTCTGGCAGTAACATGACGTCAGGTTGTCAGAAAGGCAGTCTTTTGTTGAAATTTGCCTGATGCGGGTATCTAGGATGACATGGGTGTTCTATGAGGTGATGGCTACTTAGGCTAAACAGGATCCTACGTGAAGTGCAGTTAAAATAACCGCTCTATATATGTATGTATTGCCGGATCAATATCTGATTTAAAGAGTCGCATGTACTTCGTTTCTGTCGGACAGACATGTCAGGTTCTTCTGGTCCGGGAAGTCAGGACTGAAAGTCGTTGTGACGATTGCATACTGGAGATGTCCCATCACGCGCAAGAAGGTCGACCAGTAGCAGTCCTGGACATCTAGGTCGAACATCATAAACGCTTTGGGGCGGGTAGGAGAGTGATTTAAACAAAAGGACAGGAACTCAGTGAGAATGAAACGTGTGAACCCTTTCAAACGTCCTCATCCAGGCGACCAGAAATTAGTATTATGCTTCCTCTCTCCCTTCCAATAAACGTTTGGCCTTCAACCTCGTCAAAACAAATAACGATCATAATTTTTCGCCATGCAGCACTAAATTACCGATTGGAAAAACACGGTAAACGGAGTTATGATTGTGTGAGTGAGAGTATGGCGACAGACTCGTCTCGATTCCATAGGAAGTAGACGGTCGAGTGAGTAAACACCGTGCAGGAATCTCTAGAGTCTGGCTGCCTCGCTGTCATTCTTCAGCGGATGACAGCGTTGCGCAATCCATGTATCAGCCTAGTTTGGATGAGTAAGAGCAGCTCTCAAAGGAACAAACTTGCATCTGTCGTTTAGGGAGAATTGTTGGAGTTAATGGCCAAGGACCTGACGAACGACCTCCTTCAGAACTGATCGACATCCTAACACCGTCACCATTGTTCGGAACTCATCGTTTATACGTTTCTACAGGTCGTTAGTTGCTGATAGAAGCGAACAGGCGAGTCCCAGGTAGCAGTTCAGAAGATGAAGATGCGATCACTGGGACAAGAAGTTTATTTGCCTGACGTTTCGGATTCTTACTCGAACCCATCATCAGATACATTCGCAGATAGAGGTCTATCCGCGAATGTCTCTGATGATGGGTTCGAGTAAGAATCCGAAACGTCAGGCAAATAAACTTCTTGTCCCAGTGATCGCATCTTCATCTTCTGAGGTCGTTAGTTGACAGAACACAATAATTAAGAGCTAAAGTCACTTCCATTGTTTTCTTTGAGACCAACCCCCTCACCTGTTTTATGTTAAGCGGCCATTCAGGGGATGTTAGGATATTTTTAAATTGTATATGTTTGCTTTGTCGCGATTGGTTAGTGAGAGAGAAGGGAAGCGGGTCCCGAGAATAAACTCTGCTCTGTCAGCTTAAGCAACAGGCTAAACTCGCCTTATTAATTTGACTTATCACGGTCCTGAAATATTCTGACCCCTGGCATGTTGATTGTATATTGTTTGTTTCTTGCGCGACGAACCCTCGTGGAAAATCCTCGAGTGGTTGGCCGCTCATGATCATGACACCACTTTTCTTTTGTCTCCTTTGACAATATTCTTATGAGCTTAACACGTTGATCCTTACTTAGACCGCGTTAATACGTAAAATAGTTTATTAAAGGAGTGAACGGCGAGGACTGAGTATGTAAGCCGACTGAGTAAAAAGAGCATAGCTTCTCCTGTAATACGGGAACCATGTTAATATTAGTTTAATCAGCAGCGCAGATAGACGCGGCAATTAACTGCATCTGTAGAAGGCAGTGAAAAAACTCGCACTTCTGCCGTGTTTTTTTATTACTTCAATCAGGCGCCGCAACAGACAGCACAGTTTGAAAGATGCAAGTGAGAGTTGTGTAAAAGGGCGGCAAACAGGTAATCCAAGGTTATATGTCAAAGAAAGCTAAACTAGGAAAACGGTATTTGGCAGGCGAACACGACATTGCTCCTAACCTCAACCCTAACTCTTACCTCGAATGGAATCATTTTCATAAGTCGTGCCCAAACTACATCCCCTAAATCAAGTAGGTAAGTATGTCATAGTAATGGAAAACTAGAGGTTGCACATCCACTCACCGTCTAACGAATATTCACGGCACTGCTGTGTGGGGTTTTTGTCTGCGATATGTTTCTAATGAAGTATGCAGACTTCGTCTCGGATAATGCGGACTAAGCTCACTGCGAAACCATAGAGGAGGTTACCAGACCGCCCGAGAACAATGGCGAAAGTGGTCTGGACTCGCTTTTCTTCGTCCGTGTCACGAAGTCAGTGCTGTTGGCCGAATTTGACGTCATTTCCTAGCAGGAAATGGCAAAAAGGTTGGCTTTAAACCTAACCTGACATCCTAAGGACCGGTTAAATCGAGCATCATCACAACTTCAGCAGTTGCAGGTAAGTGAACAAACGCCCAAATGGAATTGTGCGCCGATAGTGGCACCTATCCACACTTACACAGCCAGTAGTTCAAATTTGTCCATCTTTGCCTTGAATAACGGGAAACAATAGTAATGATATACTATATTGACGCTTGTTAACGTATTTGTCTTCCTTCAGACCATCTCGCAGGATTCAAAACTGGTAAAACCGTTCAGGCGGAACGTGAACTTCTCCACACCCATCGAGTACAAAATGGATGCCCCTCAACCCTACGAGATGAAGGGATACACCTCAATGCAGTTTAAATAGACCTGTGATGCCTGCCCACCCAAGCTGTTGATTAACACTCAGTGCCACCCACTGTTGCAGTTGAGGAGTCACTTCGCGAGAACATCAAGCCGGACCTCGCGCGAGGAGTTCTCTAAATATCCCTCATTCCCTCCGAGGCTGCTTTAGCTTCTTTCTGTCTCTGCCAATTCTGTAGTAGAGACCTTGTTCAGCGGTTCCTCTATGACCAACTCGCATGCGTAGTTTCACTCAAATCACTAGATAAAGATAAAATGTGTCAAAATATCTACTTGTACATTCACACACTGGACAGGAAGCCCCATGGAGGGGTGATGGGGCGTGACATCGGATGCAGGAGGGCCTTATGTCCCTTCTCAGGTCACTTAAGTGGAAACGGAGGGGCATACATTTCACACACGCCAGTTCGACTGTCACCCGCGACAACATGCAGCACGTGTCCCAGGGAGTGCGCGCGGGGGGGGGGGTGACGTGCGCGTGGATCAGCTTGTACTGGCGCTGACTAGCGCAGCATCCCCTCCCCATCCCATCCTCTCCCCCTTACCCACCCGGCTCCTATGAAAAGACACCGCTGAGACCAATGGGGGCTGTCTCGGCTGCAGTGGTTGACAAGACAAGAAAGCCGGGCTCGTGGCCCGGTGAGTAGAGGCGTTGACTTCTAAACCAACAGGTTGCGAGTTCGAGGCTCGGGTGTTCCACACTTCGGGCTTGGGTATGACTGGCTGACGACGGCTAATAAGCCAGAAATGGCCATCCCAGTCTCCCTTGTCTTTGTCGGTAATGCCATTCTGCCTATATATCATTCGCCGCTGTGCGGCTGCTGGTTGGGCTCGAGAGAGAGAGGCCTTAAGGCACAACGGAACGAGTGAGTTCCGTATGAGCGATCGGTGAGCGCCCCCTACCATTACAAGAAAGTCCGTCTATACGTACCACACAAGACCCGAACCCGCTGTGTGTACCGGAGCTTTTAAAGTGAGGCTCGGATCTCACATAGGCGGGGGTGCCATAAAGACACCATCAAGGAGGAATCACTGAAGGTCGACCTCCGGTCCTGAGAAAGACCGTGTTATCTCATCGGTTGCAAACCTTCCGAGCCACTGCTTCTAGAAGTTCGTTGGAGTTTAAGAGCGTGTTTGGCCTCTTACAGTAGTGAGATAACGCACTTAAGTAAAACTGGATCTTTCTAACTCTCTCTCTCTCCACGATCTCACCTTTCTCCGTGGCTTGCCTGAGTCAGGCCGAACTGGGATTCCACGCAAATTCGAACTTCCATACAAGTCGCTTTAATAAGGACTGATTGTAGCCTAACTCTTGTTCCAGGGGAGAATCGAGTTATCCTGTTAATGGTAATCGTCTAAGCCGTGACTGTTCGGTTATAAGGATTACATCAAGCATGTCGTGTATATTATCAAAAAACGCAATGATATTTCATGTGAAAAAATTCCCCGGTGAAGAAATCATTCATCCTTTCCTCTTGCACCCACCAACGGTTTTTTGTGCGTGCTAGCCAACTGGTTACGAGATTAGGTACAATGGCTCTCACGAATGGAAAAGAATATGCGCATCCCAGGTTCTTGTTTAAAAGAAGACGAAGACACGATCACTGGGACGGTAGATTCATTGGCCTTAGCTTTCGAACTGGAACCGCAGCTCATCATCAGAGACTGCTAGGGTTCAGCGACGTGTAAAGATCTATATCGTTGTGCCGTTAGGGGGGAGGACTACGTCCGAAGCTAGGTCTGGTTTGTGCCGCCTGGTCCACAGTGGTCCATGAGTTAGACTTCGCCAACACGCGGATATTGGCGCGAGTCGGCAAAAGGACGGTGCGAGAACTGTTGGAGGCGTGGGTGTCGGACACCAACTCTATCAATAGACACATTGATTTTCCTGCGTGTTATCACGCCCTCCGCCCACGCAGCCAGGTGGTGCAGCTCACATCGCCGCGAAGTACAGACGGCGTCACCACGCCGGGGGACCATTGTGGACCAGCCACGGACGTAGTTCCCCCCTCATGGCACAACGATGGAAATGCTCACACGTTGCCGCACTCTAGCAGTCTCTGATATGAACTCCAGTTCGAGCTCGAAAGCTAAGGCCAATAAATCCACCATCTCAGTGATCGTGCCTTCGTCTTCTTTTAAACAATGGCTTTCGCTGCGAGGGCCACAAACGTGCTGGTTCCCCATCCCACGTGACTGCAGTTCGTATCGCATGGACGGTTGAAACGGAGACCTATTTTAAAATTGCTTCCTTTTGGATTCAAAGCCGAGCTTTGGTCCACCCGAAAGCGCTTTATTGGCCGAGTACATTTCGCGCCTGTCATCTCTAGTCCGTATTCTTTGTTCTGGCCAACTCACACCAAAGCCTGCACATAAAGGACGTATCCTAGGTGTGTTGGGTTGGCGACCAAGGCCATCTGTTGATTGGCCGCCTCGGACTGATACTTCGTACTTACGACCATACAGTCAAGACGGCCGGATCTCTGGTAATTAAACGCATAGGCACATGGACACGAGATTCGTGACCCATTCCTTACACGCCTGTAAGACGACTGAACTCCCAGAGACACTCAGGGATGACGTAAAGCCATCAACAGCATCTCTGCTGAAAGCCGGAGGACACCGCTTTCACAAAACGTAACAGGCTTTCCGACAGAATAACATCCTCCTAGTGTCTGCCATCTTCTTCCGCTGTAACACTGTCTCGGTATGACAATTGTGGTGTTTATGTTGTACTCACTACCGTAACCAGATCAGTCAGCTTATTGGTGTTTATATGAAAAATGGCATTTATCTTGTTCTGAGTCGCGCATAGGGTGGTTAACGTCATAGTGAATAGGTCTTGGTAAGCAGGCAACTTTGATATGTCCGTTGGTTGATCTATAATCGGATCCGTATGTTCCGTCCAGCTGGTTCTCAATCTTATACTGCTTCGGACGGCCAGTAGACACGGTAGATAATTGACCTCCGTGCCGAACGCATTCTGGCCATTGAGACTGAGTGACTATCGGGCCCTGTAGCTTGTATTTACCGTTTCGTGTTCATGATTATGCCACTGAAACAACGGTCGTCCGTGAGCGAATCCACATTTGAACACCAGTCTAAACAGACAGCCAATAGGGAACGGGACAGAAATTTGACGAGATTGAGAGGGGCTGCACTGCCCTTATCCACCCAGGTGAGACTCGGGGAGTATTTTTGGCATAATCGTTCTTAGGAAGTTTTCAGACCACCTGAAAGGTTATTTCTGAGTAGTTAATATCTGAATGCGTCGAGCACATGACTCCAGATTCCAATTGAACATGTGTGTTATGTATTCCCTGACGGACGGCAGCCAGATGGCACGTGGGGTTTGTTGCAGAAATGAGAAGACTACCTCTTTCTTGGTGTCCAGTGAGGGCTACAATTTTAAGTCATCCAACCTCTGTAAACCGTAGGTCTCCGGCGGATAAATTTGGAAGGATAGGAAACCAATCCTGAGCTGTTATCCTTTAGATGAAACAGATGCCATAAAAATGAATTGTAGAAAAGGTATGTTATTTTGGTAATTATCCTTCAAATGCTCAAACACTTCCTAAACTTATTAGGACGTGAAACCGCATGTTAACGAAAAGCTTCCCTGCATCCACGCTTCCAAAATCACACCTTCCATGCCGGTGCAATCCGTTACGCGATTTGCAACAAATCAAGATAGATAACTTTCTTCGTGAAGATCGAATTTATTGTCCAACTTTTTGATTCCAGAACTTTGTCTTTAGAAATCAATAATAATAGAAAAAATGAAGTTGCCTCTCATGGGGAAACGACTTAGCACATGTTTTTATCGAAGAGTAGACCAGCTAGAGAGATTTTATTGATCTCTGTTGAAAAAATCTGCTTTAGCTAAAGTTGAGAATTTTCTAATAAATTCGTTCTGAAAATACAATGTCAAGTTTTGATAATTTTGCAGCCGTTGGCTGATGCGAAGGTTACCAACGCTGCTTGATCCGATCGGGCGAATGGTAAGGAGGTTCCGTTACTGAAGACACAAAAGTCACCGAACACTTCAGCCCAGGGAGGTGCCAACTTGATGATGAGTCCGATTACTGTGCATGTCACCAGTGTCAGGGTGAAAATGGCTCTCTTCAGCGCGATGCACCGCCAGGATACTAAAGTATGGATAGTAAAACATACTACTGACCGCGTATCAGTAGAAAGTTAGTCTTAGACGCAACGACGAAAGACTGGCTTGCCACCGGTAACGACCCTAATTGCAGGGTAGATGCCAGCAAAGCAAAGCCGAGAATTTGCAAAACGTGTTTGTTAGAGTTACTATCATTAAAGAGTAAGTGAATAAGCCTGTGTCTTCAAAATGGAAAACAAACGGCGGGATGGGGTGGATAGAAAATTTTCGGCGTACCCTTCTCTTGCGTCAGGTGTTCCACTTCAGGCATTCGCGTTCTTGCTGCAGCCTAAGAGCAATGGGGAGTGATGTGAAGAAAATTTACTCGTCCGCACATGTTTTCAATTGGTTTGGTTTCAGGCTCCAATTAAATAAATATATCACAAACCGAGATGTATGAAGAGCACCATTTTTAGTTCTGCTGGCCTAAGGACATACAAGTGAATGCTTGTGTCGTAAAAATCACAGACTTATGGATGTTCTGTAACGGTCAGCCTGGATCTCATCACAGAGGCTGGATAGCAAAATAGGGGACTATAGAAGGCCTGCTTGTGGGGACTCCTACGCGACCCAATTAAGCTGATGAATCCATTCTCACGTGCCTCACTAGAGCATTTTGAATCTTCTAAGGAGTCGTGGCGGGCCATTTAGCTTGGCTGGATGGTTCGCAAGCATATACTCATCCTTCTGCTAATTAACTTTTCTGAGCTTAAACATTTTCGCTTGGCAGTAAGCTTTATCAGTCAGTTGAGACATGCGCATGTCTTCGGCTGGCGGAAAAGTACTATTGGGCAGGTCAGTCAACACTTCCGGATTTGGGACTCACTTAACTCCTAATTGGAAAAGACTGCGATCTTGGCAACGTTTTTTTATAAAAATACCGCTTTATGCTTCAATACATGCCCACTATCATCACGGTGATCAGCGCGCAGTCGCCTATTCATAAGAGGTTGTGGCCACTGGATAGGGTTACTTTGGTTCTTCAATAAATACGTCGAATGCTGAGTAGTTGAGAGTGTATTTTGCTTCAGAAACCGGTGGATTGGTTTACACCCGTTTCTACATGAACAACTACCCCTAATGCAATCCCAGAGAATGTTGGATGACGTACACGGATGAGATCCGGGCAGATGAAGCGTTTTTGAGCCACCTGATAAACCCCGTTTGCGCTCTGTGCGTGAGCATATTTGTGTTTCTGGTTCTGGTGTTTCCTACACGGTGGCCACACGGTGGATGCGCTGCATCTAGCCGGGGACAGATTTCGGTCCGGCGCGCTTTATCAGGCTGCGAACTCTTAAAAAATGTCATACATGGGAGTGCGGTGGTGCGCCTAGGCACGGGCTCACGCCGCGCCAGCCGCCTGCCCTCGATGCCGCCCCCGCGGTCTTCCTGCCTCTGTCTTAACACCTGATCCAGGCGGGCAGTGGAATGAGAGGTGTGGTAGATGCAGCGCAAGTCTACTATCATTATAAACTAGCCCACATGCAAGTCACCGTCGCTGCACCCACTCTGTTGTTGGGCGCACGGTGGACGTTGTCGGAAACAACGGTAGAAATGTCGTGTCTGTTTCCAGCTGGTAATCAGGGTTATGATTGGCTGATTCGGGACAGAATAATCCCGAAACAGTGGCGCTTCAGTCCATCCACACTCTTTCGTCATCACTCTTGATTTACATATAAATGCATGCTAACTAGTATGCAAACTCACCAACTCGACCTGCTTCTCCCAGTCGATTTTAAGACAGATGTATATGTAAGCCCCAGAATTGATACAAATGCCGATGAAATAGCCTATCCACATTCCTGAAATGAAACACCATGCAAAAACATTAAGAATTTTGATGGGGGTCATAATTATGGGGCAAAGTATTATTAAAATGTTTTTTTTTCAGAGTGACTACGCGCACACGATAGTATAACACCTACGGCTTATTGTGCGGTCAATTCGAATTTCCATGGTATTCGTTCTTAAGTCGAAATAGTTTCTTCAGAAAGTTAACGTTACAGCTGTTGCGATTGGTATTCATTCTTGGCTGGGGCAACACGGAACGTCCTGTGCCATAATTCAGAAGAGTTATCCCAATGATAGAAGGGCGTTAGCCGATCGCGTCACGGAACTCGCTCATCCCGTTCTGCCTTGGGGCTCTCTCAGGGAACACCTGCTGATCATGACGTTTCAAAGACAAACAAACCTCATTCGGTAATGACAGAATCGCTGCCGTACCTTGCGAAGTTCATTGGTGCTACTACGGAGGACACTGACGGATTTCGCTGGTGACACAGCGTCCACGGTTCTTGCTGCATTTAAATCAAATTTCAGCCTGGCCGGTAAAGCGGCGTGATCTTCGACAGCCGTCAGCATTCGCAGACGTTTTGTCTGCCGTCATGGCTTGCCGAGGCAAAGTAACAATAGTAACTTTGTACAAGCCAAAGGCGACGAAATATGCAGAAGTTAATAATGCCATAAAATTTCTTGACCCCCTGCATATTAATAGGCTTAACCTTTCAATTGAGAAATGGGTTAAGGGGATCAAACTTGATAGGTAAATAAAAACAGGGAATGTTGATCTGACATGGCGGTCGGGCATAGTGTGAAGGGGGGTGAAGGAAGTTGTATTGGTTAGCGAATATGGGTTGCAGCGAAACCTCGTCAAGCGTGATTAAGACTGGGTAGGATCCCTGTTGGTAGCCCTCCCGGCTAATTGCTCTACACATTGCTTACTACAACATTCGCGTCTAGCACACAACTACTGCTTCAGTTTCTAACATACATGTGACCTTAGTGGCAATAAATTATTATTTTCGGAAAATCAGGAACGCCCAACCCAATCTGGAGCTAGGATGCATTCATTCCGCAGACCGTACTCAGTATCCACGTTCGTTTTTATTTCTTTCATTTTTCGCCATATTTAAATTTGGCTACGACTTTAGCAGGGGCATCAATTCGGGGCATACATTATAAACGTCATTGACGCCTGCACACAAGTGCCCCACCCGTATATGCCCCATTACCACCGGTCCCGTAAGATAGGGAGCCGGGCGATTTCAGTACCGGGAGGGCTACCAAAAAGGATCCTACCTAAGAGTGAACAGCAGGTACCCGGAAGTTCAATACCGTAACACCTGGCGGACATTCGCCCCGCGGTGGACCCAATGACCGCATTTAGACGTCCCCTTCGGGCTACTACTGAGAGTCTCTTACGCTTTTTAGAAGTCGGTGCGATACGGAGGAGAAAGCCAGAGCTGTGTGAGCGGTCAGATCATGTGATGCACCTCGCTCTGCCACTGTAATAGCCGACGACGGAAATAAGCCTATTTCCTCCTCCGTTCCCCCCCCCCTCCCCAAATGACTGGCTAACATGACTAGAACTCGCTCCCCTAAGTAACCTCCCCCTCCCCTCTCGCACCATGCCCACCAGTATGTCAGATCATTAATCCGTCTTTATCTCCCCCCCGGTCGTTTTCTATTTGAACAGTTTATACTTTTAATAAACAATGATCGCGCAAAGTTGAAAAGAGGTGTCGAAGTTTTATAAGCATCAAATTCTGCACATTTTGTCGCCTTTGCCTTGTTTAAATTTGTTCCGGGTAAGCAATGTATCAACTTTGCCGAATCTTTCTATGAAAATTAGCAGGAAAGCATCACAGATCGGAAGTCCGCTGAGCCGTTTTATGAGAATGGCATGAGTATTGTAGTTGCCTTGGCCGTTCTTAGACTTAAGGATTGGAAAACAACTTTACTGCCTAATCGCATTGACTACTACCAGCAAACGCATTTTCACCCAGGCCATTGTCTTTAAAGTTCCTATAAAAAGACCTGTCAGGTTTTTCAAAGCACGAGCTATCGGCCCTGTTGGTAAAATGCAGGTTCGGTTTCCGGTTCGTGGTGGTGGCGGCGGCGGTGGCGAGCAAAAATTGGTGAACGGCTGATCAGCCTAGTCGTTGCTTAACGTTCCAGTTTTTCCCTCCAGATCAACCAACCACCGCAGAGGCCTAGCTACCACCCTGGAGAAGATGACTCATAACGTAATCAGTTGTCAAGCCCACCAAGCATCACCCAAACGACACGGATAGCGAAAATACAATAGAATTGATTACCTTGTGGCAGACTAGCTCAGCAAGTCATTTGGATGTCTGCTCGATTCTTTGCATTTAAAGCTTCAACAATGGCAAGACGAGTAAGCCCTCGAAGCCCACCAAGAACCACCCAAACGACAGAGGGGTAGGATGTGATTATCTAGCCCCACCTGATTGATCCAATACTGTTAGGGTTGAGGTTAGGGTTAGAGGTTACGTTTAAGGGTTAAAGTTACGGTTAGGGTTAGGGGTTAGAGCTAGGGGATAGGATTAGGGGTTAGGACAACCATTTCTCAACCACTCAAAGTATAACCGCGCATTCCCAACATCATTTCTTTTGCATACAACTACTTGACCTCATCGCCTGTGCGTTCACCATCCCCACCTTTAAAACCCCCCTATTACCACCGGTCCCATATTACAGGTGGCCGGGGTTTGTTCACTTCAGGTGGGGCTACCTAACCACATCTGACCGATAGAGGCAGCGAAACTACGAAAGAATCGATTATCTCGAGGCAGACCAGCTCGACGAGTCATTTGAACGTCCGTTCTATTCTGAGCATTTAACGCCTCAAAAATAACATGACGAGTGAGCCCTCCGAAACGCCAGCAGTGCAATAAACACGATTCCGGTGAGTCCTTTCTCCCTCTCGAAAGAGAAGTTGTAATAAATTTGAAACACTACTTCCCTTTCTAGCTACTAGGAGCACAACAGTGGGCTTGACACATAGCTTGAACTTGCCAATTAACTTCAGGTGTGTTTTGAGGAGAAGACTGAATCCAATTGGAGCACCGACCACATAGAAGGCAACCAGAATCACGATGGCACCGATCTTCTGCATACCGGATCCACGCAAAACTCCCGTGAGGACACCCTAACAAAACAAACGTAATAGTTATCATAATAAATTAGACTACTTAAAGTAGGTTTCAGCATTTTAGAGGCTTTCCCTCAGACAAAAAACGACCTTACAGACCAACGCGAGAATTTGGATATGCCAGAGTCTTTTAGAAAAAGTGTGGAAAGGTTTTACAAGGGCCTGCGTCTTTGCTCAAACGTCGTACGACTTCCGACAACAAACCTGCCTTGCCAAGAAGGTAGGCTTATTCTTCACGTTGAAAAAAAACAGATAGGTATGGGTTTTTGCTGATTTCTGTTTGTCTAGTCAGATACTGTAGTTGCCAAAAGTGTTTTGCAAACATCGCACCCATGACGGACAAACGGAAGAGAGATACCAACAATTTGGCACTCCCTACCCTACATAAAGAATGTGTTCGAGGCTACAGAACGCATTGCGTCAGAGTTAGGCGTGGGCATCGCTCATTATCCGGCGGCTACCATGCGTAGCAGGATCATGGGAATGAAGGATCGGCTGGACGCAGGTGAACAGTGGGGCGCAGTTTATCAAATCCCGTGCCAAAACTGTCCTTGCCACTAAACAGGCCAAACAGGACGATGTCTCAGCTCACGAATACTTGAGCACAACGGGCCGTTCGGAGAGGTGACCCACTATCTCAAGTCGCCACTCACACGCTGGAGGAAGGCCATGAGTTCGAACTCGTCAACACGCGGATATTCGCACGAGCCGGCAACAAGACGGGGCGAGAAATGTTGGAGTCGTGGGTGTCGGACACCAACTCTAACAATAGACACATTAATTTGCCTGCGTGTTATCACGCACTCCGCCCACGCAGCCAGGTGGCGCAGCTCACATCGCCGCAAAGTGCATGCGGCGTCACCACGCCGGGGACCATTGTGGACCAGCAACGGACGTAGTCCCCCCCTCACGGAACAACGAAATAAATGTTCACACGTTGCTGCATTAGCAGTCTCTGATGATGAACTCCAGTTCGAGTTCGAAAACTAAGGCCAACAAATCTACCGTCCCAGTGATCGTGCCTTCGTCTTCTTTTAAATGAGGGGTTTTGAATGAAGGTTCTTCCTATTATTAATCAGGCATTCACTCCTAATAAGTAAGGGTTCTTGTAAAAACGTCTCAAAGCATCACTACAGAATATGCTGCTGGCGCGGAATACACTATTCAAAAGGTCGTTTACAGGACTAAACTTGTTATAATCTACAAATCAACTTAGTAGTAATTTTAGTATTCTTGGACATAGATAAATACGCCGGCTAAAATACTCGTCTCAGGCAGAATCGAGCCACCGACCGCCAAGCACATTTCAGGTGTTATGGACACCATCGTTTCCAGTTGTGTTAAGAACACAGAATATTTGATTCGTAGGGCTGGCTCGCTTTGGCCTAGGTCCAGAATGTACTGGACGCATATCGCAAGTCAGAGGCTCTGTGAGTACTAATCTATCGCACATATGGAGACGAGTCAACCGCAGCCGAAGGACGCAGCTCGTAGTTTCAATTCGAAAGTCCACGGAGATGGTAGTTTTCTGGCAGAACAGGTTTCTCTCCTCGCCTGAGGCTATGCAAGTTTTCGCAGTGAGAAATCTGTATGCCTGCCGCTTAAAGTTGTATGTAAGGCCACGCAAAGAGCTTTGGGTATGATGGACTCGCACTTACCATTGTTGCATCTAGATAGATAAAGACAGCCAACAGGGGGAAGATTTTCAAAGCCTCCATGATGACATTTCTGAAATAAAGACAGAATAAAACATATTCAGATTGGCAAAGTTGAGAGAGCCGGGTTGGTTATTTGAAGAAGAAGAAGAAGAAGAAGAAGAAGAAGAAGAAGAAGAAGAAGAAGAAGAAGAAGAAGAAGAAGAAGAAGAAGAAGAAGGGTCCTCCAGAACAGGTTTATTTGAATGCTGAAGTTTCAAGCATCGACCAAAGTTCTGGGTTCGCGATGTCGATGACACCTTCTTCGTTGTCAAAACAACTGGCATTGAGCACCTAAAGGAACTACTGAGCTTGGTTGACCCGGATATTCAATTTACGATGGAAGCATAAACAAACGACCAACTCCCCTTCCTTGACGTACTTGTGCGCCGGTGTGCAACTGGACAGCTGCAAACTACAGTATTTCGAAAATCCACCAACACGAGACACATCCTACACTTCAAAAGCAACCCTCTTCTGTCTCACAAACGTAGTTGTGTCCGTACTCTATTCCAAAGAGTCGAAACACATTGCAACACGCCAGGAGATAAAAGATCCGAACGATTGTACCTTGTAAACCTATTTGCAGCCAACGATTATCTCAGACATTTCAACGAGAGAAGCCGACGTCGGGCGCACAGGAAATGGCCTAATGAGCAGCAACCCGAAGTCTCGAGGGACATGCCTTACGTTAAAGGGGCCTCTGAAGCGGTCTCGCGACTGTTACAACCTACCAGAGTAGGAATAGCCCATCGACCCCAGGCAACAGTTCGACGCCGTCTGATGCAACCTAAGGATCCATTGCCACCCGCTGAAACCTCAGCAGTCATCTACAAAATAAATTGCAATGAGAGCGACCGCAAATATGTGGGCGAAACCTGGCGGAACTTGCAAAGTCGCCTACAAGAACACGAATCGGCCACTCGGAGGTCAGATCCTAACTCTCAACTAGCAACACACATTGGAGAACTAGGGCATACTCACAATCGTAAACCTCAGGACCAAACAACCACACTGGACTTAAGAAGGCCGTACAGAGATAGCCTGATGGTGAGCTTACTCGGTGAGAGAGAACAAGAACCGCCAGACAAACCGCCCGACAAAGGTTCAATCAGCTTCCCCCGACGGAGTGTTGACTCACAAGGCATGCAACGTGGGAATTTTCCCCGTATCCACTCCTCGCTTTGCGGCTGGACAGACGACAGTTACAAAAAAAACTTATATAACCAGGAAGTCAACTCTTCATGACGGAGCAAGCTATTAGCAGAAGTACACGGCGCATGAGTAAAGCTCATGTCTCTATTATCATTGCAATGCGCTTTTCTACCAAAAGGCCAGGAAGGCGGAAGCTATTCTTTGTAAGAACACAAAATCCTAAACAAATTACCTCGAAGAAAACATGAGTAGAGTTAATGACAGACAGTGCGCACACCGTCACCTTACTGACAAATGCGGTCACTTACTCGTCTTTGCTGAAGATCTGACAGAGTTGGCGTCCCAGTGTCACGAGGATGATAGCCGCGAAAGTGATACACACGACTAAAACGTTTGAAAAAATTTGAAACAGTGACTTGGCAGTCTGAAGTTCCGGCTTTACTACCTGCATTTATGAAACAAACCTCTCTATAACGCTCGCAGATAGTAAAGGCCAAACAGTTTATAGGATGAATCGATTAAAAGAAACTTCCATTGGTTCCCCAAAAAACTATGGAGGGGCGTTGACCAATCGGGTCACGGGACATGTTCGTCCCGCAATGCTTTGGGACCCTCGCCGAACGTCATACAACGACTAGCTATGTGTGCAGATATGGCGGTACGGGCAAATACAAGGTGACAACTTGGGCATTTACTGTCCGTGGTATTAATGACTGGACTCACTGAACACCGTGCGGCTTATTCCGTCGGTTAAGGAAAGTACCTTAGGATTTATTTACAGCGAGTCGGGCAGAAGCTAACGCAGGGGATCCACTGAGAGTAAAGTCTAGATACAGAGTGAAAATGAGGGAATTCCTTCATTGAGGGGCACTGTCAGTCCACCATGGACCACATGATGAAAGGATTTAAGTAATCTTCATTGGAAACATAGTGCTCAAAAAATGCAGGAAAAGTAGGAAATTTGGTTTATATGCTTAGCGTTCATATGCTGGCGACTGTTATTTTTGAAGGTTTGTTCGCTCCCAGCAGTGAACATGGTTTTAACCCATGTGAAGCTAATTGTTTGATACTGCACAATCGTTTGGCTATCGGTTTCGACGATGTCCACCGTGTACTCCACAGCAGAGTGAGAGCAGAGACGGTGACTTGTGCGAAAATTTAGTTTATAGTGACAGTAGACTTGCACAGCATCTACCGCACCCCCTCCTCCTCCTACTTGGCCAAGACAGCGGGTCAAAAAGAGCGGAGGCGGGGGAGGGCACAGGTGGATGGCATGGCCGAACCCGTACCTTGGCGTACCACTCCACACCGCCTGATCCACACAGCAACTAATCAGGTCTTTGATTAACAACAGCAATGAGGTGAGGCAGGGTGCCAGCGTGCGCGACGTACGTCGGCCACCGGTTCCGCCACCGCACCCCGAAATGTTGGCATTTGTTACGGTGCACAAAATCGATAACGCCTGTCAGGATCCGACATGGCACCTGTGCTGGCCCAACGCATTTATCACATGACCCGTTAGGGGGGCAAATCGACCCTATACAGCACGTGTAAAAAGTACATTTCAGGAGTTACTTGTTATATCTGCTGCGCTTGCAGGACTAGCAAGCAAGATGACAAAACGGGTCGAACGTATGTGGATGGCGGAACATGCGCAGACAGTCGAGAAAATGAGACAGTAACTGGCTGGTCGGGAGTCACATGGATTAACTCGCCATCGTTTTTTGGAGGGAAGGAGGTCGAAAAGGTTTGAAAGTGATGAAGTTGAAGACTTCAGCTGGGTAGGGACTAACTGCATGTCGTCTGCCGGCACTTTTGAGTGTGTCGACGCAGTTGCCATCATAAATGGTTGCGTAAATCATGCTCATCTTTCCACAGGCGGTGAGCTAGCATTCTACATCCTTCAGTCAGTAGTGCCCATGAAACGTTAACTGAAACTTTGAAATGTGATGTAGGAAAGGAAAAAGTACAGTAGGTGGGCTAACTCAGGCAATTTCAACCGAAATTTAGAAATGCGTTCTCGTTTAAAAAAGATTAATTAGGTAGGGTTGTGAAATTTATCGTCTCGCAACTTAATTCTATGATAATCCAGTTACCTCAGGGCGTCGGCTTTTGAATGAACTTATTTTCGACTGCATGCAAGAACAATGATCTGCAAAAAATGACTGCTTAAGAAGCCTGCAATTGTCTCATTGATTTTTGATGCCCTTGAAAATTCAATTATATTTCAGGGAAAACATGCATAAAAATATTCATCCTCTTCCTCAGTCGGTAGAAAATGACGTCTTTTTTCCAAATTCATACTTGAAAGAAGAGTATAATTCGGTTTTAAAAAAAAACTTTTCTAATTCCTGAATAACTTCGAACCCGACCTGCTGTTACATTTGTATTCAGGGTTTCAAAACTACAAGCCGCATAGTTTCCGTGTACGAAAAACCATGCATTTCCCCACGGTATTCAGAGGAAACCACGTGGGGTTCATAAAAGTAAGCAGTGGATTTGAGCAATATTGTTAACTTTATAAGCCACATTGGTAAATTCAGAGGCATCACTTTTTATGAACGGCCATTTCACGGTATTGAAAATTTCGCAATTAGAAACTTTTCTAAAACCGAAGTATACACTTCTATTGAGTGAAAAATTGAAACAAGACGTCATTTTCTACCGAATAAGAATGAACAGTTTTGCTCATGTTTTCCATAAAATATAGGTGAATCTTCAAGGACATCGAAAATCAATGAGAAAATTGCATGCTACTTAAGCAGTCATTTTTTTCAGATCATTGTTCTTGCATAGAGTCGAAAATAAGTTCATTCGAAAGCCGACGCCTTGAGGTAACTAGATCATTACAGAATTAATCTGCGAGATTGTAATTTTACAAACCTACTTAATTAATCTTTTCTAAACGAGAACTCATTTCGAAATTTCGGTTGACATTTCATGAGTTAGTCCACCTACTGTACCTTGATGGGGTCGTAATATTGATTGTCATCCCAAATCATTCAAAAATATTACATACAGACCGCGATACCGGCTTTTGAATGCGCGTCTTGCAAACTTATGAAAAACAAAACTCTCAGTAAAAAATAGACTCCTCATGTAGAGTGAGTTTTTTCATTGATTTTGATGCTTTTATAAAGCCAATATATTTTCTTAGAAAGCGTAGACAAAGTCATCCCGAATCATATCGTTTTCTAGGAAATAAGTTATTCTTCAAACTTTTTACTCGAAGAAATAATAGCTTCCGGTTTCAAAAAGGTTTTACAATTCCGAATTGTTTTTAACCCAGCCTGGCATTCAACTTGCATTTAGGGTTTCGAAACTACAAGTTACACACCTTCAGTTTGAGAGAGATCAAGCATTCCTCTACGGAATTAAGACGATACCGTATAGGCTTCCTAGAATTTCTCAATGGACATGCACAAATTGTATGCTTCATGCACAGCACTAATGGAAGGGTCGTAATTATGTAACTACAAAATAGGTAAAAAAGGTTTTTGCATGCCTTACATAAGGTAACTTTAGATTTACAAAGGTACCCAACATCAATAGATAGATGCCTTCTATTGAAGTAGGTATTTTAATCAGCGTGGTTCTGAAACGCGATCAGAATGGAACGCACTCAAAATTCGCATTATGGCCTGGCTAGAATACCATAGAATTATGTTACATTATAATCAATTCTACAGCCACGCCTAAGCAACTCTTCATAATCTAAATCATTTCGGACTTTTAACTAACGTTTCCTAAGACACACGGGTGTCATATTGCCGGAGAATTTGCTCTGTTACCTCTCCAGACTTGGTGCAGTGTGGACGGCTGCTTAATGTGAGTTGTCTGCCAATTCCTGTGCTTGCGCTCACTGCGTGTGCACCAATCAGTGACTGGTCCCCCGGGGTTGCTTGCTGGTGATTTGGATCCATAATAGAGAACAAACGCCTGTCTAGCGAGTGATGCCACGGCTACTGCATCCGCTTTGACCTCCCCTTGGACTAACCCCGACTCGTCTTTGGTTGGAAGAGGAAAGAGATAGCCCTGCTAATTAAGGCCCCCACTTGTTAAACTTCTGAAGAATTGAATACGTAGCCCTACCGTGGAAATGGATCACAGGTACTCCTGTATTACGAGGAGGGTGTTAATAGTGGTTTTATGAGTGGGGCAGATGAGGGGATAAGTTACATAATCTCCCGAAGGCATTGAGAAAATCCATATTTTTGCCATTTGTTTGTTTCATCACTCCAACAAGGTGGCGGAACAAACGGCCAATCTGGAAAATGCGAATTAAGCGCGGGTGAACGGGCGGGGAGCTGAAATCCGTGGGTATTGGTTTGGGGTAAAATGGCACGCAACAGACAAACCTAACCCTAACCGCAAGTTTAACCGCAACCGTAACCCGAGTAATAAGCCACGCGGGGAGCGCACAAGTGAACACTGCTCCCCACTCCAGGGTCGGTGGGTCAGATGGTCGAGCAATCATCACACCAACATACAACGCACATCATGAAATTGCATCAGTTAACGACGCAAATGTCGGCCATCAAACAATAAGCACACCAAGTGCACAGATCCCTGATGAAGGGGGGAGCAGTGAATGTTCATAGGTAAGCGGTAGCATTGCGGCTGCATCCCATAAATACTGCAGCCGCATGTGAATGAACCACCTTATCTGCTTTTGGCTCTGATGACGGATTCGAGCAGGAATCCGAAACGTCAAGTTAATAAAGCCCTTGCCCTAGCAATCGTGTCTCCTTCTTCAAGACTACTTCCTGGGACTCGTTTCTTTACTTCTATTGGTAACCCGAATATAACACGCATAGGTACGTCAAATATGTATGTATGTATACAGTAATAAAAGGCAGTGGCTTCATATTCAATCGCCGCGCTAAATTTGACAAACCAGAGGCGCTTCTGGGCTTTAAAATCATGCTAAAAGCTGCGGTTAGGATGGCTGCAATGGATCCTACTTAGCGTACTCTTATATCAGCTGCCAGTGATGGAACTTCAAAGTTATTCCAGCCTAGTTGCTATTGCTGCTAGACTGGCACGAATGCGGTCCCCAGCTGTGCCCGCCCGGCTGAGGTCATGCCACTGGATCTCGACGGGTAATGGAGGAGTGAGTGTAGAAGATGCGACTCAAGCGTCGCACAACACCCAGGTCACAACCGTGCCCCCGGAAACTGAGGAGCTCTTTTTGTGCAATGATAATGATTTTTACTTTAAACCCCAAACAACAAACAGAGTCGCTTTGTGTGTGTGTGTGTGTGTGTATGTGTGTGTGTGTGGAAACAATTGAATTCCTTCTAACGTTTGTTTAATATCCCAATGAACGGCTTCTAATCTTATATTCCAAGACCAAGGTGATGTGTAATCCTGTCAAACTCCCGAAGGAAAATGAATTCGACCTCAGCGACGTGGGCAACATTATTCTCTGTCAGTATGTGAAGTTATGGTTTTAAAATAAGTGGGAGAATATCAGCATTTTGAATGGGACTGTGGCTACGAAAAACAAAAGTCGCACTTACACATAGATAGCAGTGCCGCTGTCATTGTCACCTTAGGTCTCAGGTTATTTCCGGCCCCCAGTGCCTGACCGACGCGAATTCCCGTAGCTATTCCCAGACCAAGCGGTATCTATGGCAAGAGAAACAGAAAAAAGCGACTGGTTTAGAGGCTGCATTGTAATTAATTACGTACTTGAGCACAAAGAAGGAGACACTGTAAGCCGCATTATTCCGTCCTAGGTTGTTTTAATATCGCGCAGCGTTCCAGTGATATTATCATCGTCATTTGGTGAAATGTACGTTAAGGATACCATGAACTCATTGGCCCAGTAGTACAGGACGTCCAGTAAAAGATGGAGAAGGAAGGCAGGAGTATGAATGTGAGGACGGTAGACTGAAGTTGCCGGAAATCATATACTGACGAAGGTCTGAAAATGTATCCGATATCTAGATAAGCACCATCATTTACAAGAGGAAAGAGAGTTGCCGATCGTGGGTTTCACAGGATCTGTGTGAAAGCAAGAGACAGCGAAATGACCAGGGCGAGACATACTTCCAGAAACCGCGGGTGCTTATGAAAGGAAAAGGGCAGCCATGCTTCTTCATTAATGAAGAGGGTTCAAAAAGAAGTATGTAAGTGTCAGGAACAGACCAACAGTAGCTCTGCTGAGACCTGATAAACGTTGCGGAAGTTATTTCCAAATCCGAAACAACAATCTTGAGCAAAAATAGGCAAGCTGATAAGTAGTTCAAGTGTGGGTCTTTATCGTTAACATTGGGAATGGCTGGTTGACGACGGCTAACCAACCAGAAGTGATCGTCCAATTTTCCTTTGTCTATTTCGACACTTTTTCCTACATCAATACCGGTTGTTGCGCTACCGTCCGCGAGAGTTCTAAACTCAACCCCAAAGCAGGATGGTCTTATTGGGTGAAGTGGATTCGCGGCCTTCATACGACCTGTTCCTTTCAGGTCAGTATATATGCCAGTATATTTAAAGGGTAAAAGGCAATGTCTTTGAAAACCCCATTGTAAACGGTAAATGCAATATCTACCTTTAAATAAACATAGTACTAAAATGTTGTCAGTAATATATACACTGTTAAAATGCAGAACCGAAACTCGAGAACATTCATTTCTAGACGATATCGGTAAAATGAAATTACAATCATCCGCATTAGCGGTAAGTGTATGCAAGGCGTTGGTTTGGCACCAACAAGCGGTATTTTCCAAGCAAATACACATCTAATTTTTGCTTGAATGTTCTTCACTACGTGGCCCGAATAAACAGTTGATACAAGTAACTGGTTTCAAATTAGAGCTGCACGAATTTAATCACTCTGTAAATAAGGAGATTAAAAGAGAGGATTCGATTTCCTCCAAGATGACTAAATCTTTGAAATCTGCCGCTGAAACGCGCAGAAAATGCATTCGACTTGACGACAGCTGCTCATACTTCATGCCAGGGAACTGAACTCACTCATTAAATTTTGACAAAGTAACTAAGGACAGGGTTTTTTTGAAAAATAATTTCTTTGAAGAATTGAGCTCCTACCACGGTGGATATCCAAAGAGTGAAAAGTCGGTGCTTTTGTTCTAGAATTTCAGAGGAAACTACAAGCTACTAAAAATAAGCTGTGCGGCGTAAAACTCCTCTCCTAGATAAGATTCTAAATTGTTCAAATGGTTAGGTATAAGAACCAAAATCCTAATTGATTATTAGCCTGTTTTAGGCGAGAAATGGACATAAAGTGTCTACAGAAAAGTTAAAAACAACTGACTTGTAACTGATAGAATGAGGAGGTTCAGCTACCCGCTATGACGGATGCAGTTTTTTGTTTTTTACACAATAAACTACTTGGAAAATTTTTGCGGTTCTCCAACCTTCCCAAACCAGAAACCTTGACGATAGCACAGTCCTCTGTGGGTCTCTCATTCATGACTTAAAGAAACGTCATGCTATTCTGAAGCCTAGATGGCTTCCTAAGCAGGAAACTAGAAAGTACGGTCTTCTATTAAAGAGCACCTCCTTGATGGCGGTTATTCGGTTGACCCAAAAAAACATCTTTTTGAGTATTAGTTTGAGCACTAACAACTTGGTTACTACGCTACTTGGAGGCAGCCTACATACGGCGGGAGAAGCCCGACCTATGTAAAGAGTTAGACCACGTGGTCAACCTCAACTTGTCCTGGTAGATCTGAGTCCTTTTGATTTGCGAAATCCCTCGGCGTGTTAATTTCCCCCTTTTCTTCCCTATGTTGCGTTTTCAAGTAACCATTTTAGTGATTAGTCTGCGTGCAGTATACAATGTCCCTGCTCTTTTACATTGATTTTCTCAGTGGAAGTTCAAAGCTCTGTATCTTTCTCACTTGTTATCTGTGTTATGCAACGACGGGCTGCAGTTGATAAGCCGTCGCGAAATTTACTGGTACCAATTAATTATACTGTCTATGTCTGTTTTAAATTTTTAACATCAGCGAATGTCCACAGTTATAAACAATAACCACCGGAATAGGTTGGTATTCACTTTATGTTTCCGGGTTTTTACAAAAAGCCGGAACTCGGTCGGAACTCTGGAAAATACGAAAATTCAAAGCCCTTAGTCGACGGCAAAAGATGGGTTCAAGAAGGGAAATAATAGCCTTGTCTTAAAAGGGCGGCAGTTCAATCATATGCTCTGATACCGTGCTCTTCAACTCCTCTACCAAAATAAGCGTTTTCGTAAGGAAAGGCTCTCGAGAGAAAGTGGGAGTTTGGGTTCTTATCGAAAAAAACAATCAAGGATTACTGGGCAACGTCCAATAGAGAGCCGTCTACCATGACGTGAGATGAGTGAAAGGAAGTATTTTTGCATTAAATGATCGCAGACTCCTGTGTTTACCCATATATATTCACGAAAACCAATAATCGAGGAATGTTACCAGTGTGGAAATCATATGTTAGGGTGTTATTTTCGACTCAGTTGTCAATACCGATCAGCCATATCCCAAACACATACGGGAATATGGTCCTTTTCACTTCTCAGTGAGACTATAGTATTGCTGTAATGGGAAGATCGTTCACTGCTCGGGTTGAGCGATATGATCGATCCGCTGATTGGTTCGAAACGTCTTTGACCCATTTTCGCCCGAAAAACGGGATTAACTCTACACAGATAGGGAATTACGAGATAACATGAGATCTGAGCTCGCTGTTCTGGTGGACGGGTTCTTTAATGATTTACGCTTCTATCTACCAAGTAGTACGCGTGTTTCACAAAACCCGACTGGTAAAATATTCCGGCATTGTCAAAATGTGCATTCCACTACATCTGGTTGAGCTAATTAGACAGAAAAATCTCTCCTGGGAATAACAGAATGAAATAAGGGTGAAAGAAAAGTAGTGCTACCGCTGTGAAAATGAAGGAGTCAATTGATATGACAATGATTTGGGCCCTGAGCTCTATCTTCCCAACGACACCTGAAAAGTGGGCGGAGAAATAAACAGAAAATGACTTTAAATTTTACACTTATGCATGTTACAAATGTATTCAGATAGTCTTTAAGGTGCTGATGGATAAAATGTAGGATAAAACAACAAAACAGATCATGGTGCGTCGGGCTTTGATACCCTTAAAAATTCGAAAATATTCCAAGAAAGACGAGCACAGAAACATCATTTCATGAATTCTTCTTAAAATGTTAAACTCGAAGAAAAGTTGATGTCAGTTTAAAGAGATCTATAACTGTGAGCTTGTGAAACACTGATAAATGTCTACTGAACTAGCCAGTTTATTTATGCCCTTTATGGAACATAAAACGTAATCTATATTAATCGCAAAATTGTGAGTCTTATATCATACACTCTTGGTGGCAAAAACAAATGTATGTATAGGAAGTGTACATCTCGTAGTTTTAACTATTTGAGTTCCATTAAAACAGAATGTTTGGTTCGGAATTATTTGGAAATTTTAGGTAGCATTCACGGTTGATGACTTCCACTGAAACTATCTACCGTAGGTAGGCCAACTCACGAAATGTCAACCGAAATTAAGAAATTCCTTTTCACTTCGAACTGATTAATTAAGTAGGGTTGTGAAACCACACATCATGCAGCATCTATATATATAAAAATGGAAGGGTTTTTTTTCTGTGTTATATCTAATCTCCGAAAGTACTGCACCGATTTCGCTGAAATTTGGACACAACCCGACCCGCGCATAGGGCCGGGTTTTTGTCTGCTCAGTTGTGTAATTATGCCGATGGTATGCCTGTGATGGGTAAAAAACCAAATTTTTTCCGGCATAACAACACCACCTGCTGCGTCCACTTGACCTACATCCGCGCGGACACATGTGCGCCCAGACAGCGGCCACTTGACCGACATTCGCTCAAACGCACGGGCTCCGCCCGACAGCCGCGCTCACCCCACCACCCACCCTGCAGGCACTTGAGCAGGCCCTCCACCTTCTCTGGGCCGATGCAATATGGGCCGCCAGAGCAAACCACCCACCCTGCAGCAAAAAAACACGCAACACTTGGACGCCACTTAAAATTGTCCCGCAGTCCATATAATAGGGCCGTCACCGCCGCCTCGGGGATTCTTGGGGGTGAGGACTGGATGCAATTAACACCCGACACTCCCCTCCCCGGCTCAACACACATAATGGGGCTGTCGTCCAGTGTCCGCTCAGTATTGTGCAGCTCGGCTTGCGGAAGCCCGGTTGCGGTCACGGCTACTGCGTTCTGCAGCTTCAGGCCTGCTTCGTTCAGCAACAGGATGAACACAGCCAGCTGGGAGTGGCCGAATGGCGCCAGCGCGGAACAGCAGACCAGCGTCAAACACGACTCCGTGCTCAGCATTCACGCAGTCTGTTGCTGTTGTAAACGACGGTACGCCAACAACCGTTGGAAGGTTAACGATTTTAGGGTGAGGGGATACCATATATACCGGCAGTCGGAGACCGATTCCAACGCAACATTCATTTACTTATTGGGATGGTACCGATGGATATCACTTGAACATTAAGATGATAAATCCAGTCAGTGACGAGGTAACGCACATGAAAGGCAGCGCAGTAAACCACTACTCCTATACGACAGAATGTAAGTAATCCCCTTTTGAAATGCCGTAAATTGCTTCATAATTGCATTGTGGATATGTATGCAAACATCGAAACTGAACGCCTGCTTTCATTCGCTTAAATCAGACCAAGCTGCGCTCTGAAGGATACATTCCTTTGCATGATGCATTTGTAAACGACGGTAATACAGATAACGTTGTAAGACTAACGCTTTTGTCGTCCACATGCACAGAGAGTCCACGCCATATGTCCGAGTACGCTCGAGGTGCAATTGCTTACGTTTGTCAGTACGGGGCGTCCAGACCTACTCGTTACCTTTCGATGTAATCCAGTTTGGGCGATATTCAATAGCTCTGACTTCCTGGGTAATCGTCGGTGGATGGGTATGACATCACAGCACGTGTTTTCAGGAAGAAACTGCAATCGTTGATGAACTTCATAGTGAAACACGAGGTGTTTGGGCCTGTGCGCTGCTGGATGTATTAGGTGGAACGGCAAAAGAGGGGACTGCCCCATGCACATGTAGTGATCTGACTCAATAACAAGATCACTTCGAACGAAATCGACGATGCCATATGCGCTGAATTACCTGATGCCGACGTCGACAATGCGTTGCATGAAGTTGTGACGAAGAATATGCTACATGGACCTTGGATGCATTGAATCCCTATTCTCCAAGCCCCCCCCCCTCCCCCGGCATGATAGACGGAAGGCCCTTATACCGAATAAGATCAGTGGAAGATTTCGGCAAGTTGGCAACCGTACGAATGCGAATCGGTGACTTAGAAGTCGGTAACCGCTGGGCTGTTTTGTACTCGCCTTTGCTTTTCAAAGCAAACGCAGCTCACATGAACGTGAAAAACTGCAATTGCGGGAAAGGAATTAGGTACATTTGTAGGTACGTGAATAAAGGCAGCGACATGGCCTTTTTCAGCCTGCAAAACGAAAGGAGAGAAAGGGATGCGGGCATACAACTCGATGAAATCGCGCAGTATTGGGCTGGGAGATGCGTCAAGGGCAACAAATCCGTGTGGCGAATTCTTTCATTCCCCATCCATATGCAAGTCCAGGTGGGCAATGGCGTTTACTTTACCGATGCAAATGTGCAACAGACCACCGGCAACACACTAACTGCGTTCTTCCCGTTCAGCCAAACTGACGCGATTGTAAAAACCCTGCCGTATTCGAAAGTACCTACATATTACACAGGGAATGCGTGCAGAAAATCTTTTGTACGACGCAAACGAGGAGAGCGAGTGGAAGGACACCCAGGTAGGCAGACTGCACCGCGTGCATCCCAATCAGGACGAATGGTTCTTACTCCGCACGGTGTTGGTGAATGTGTCCGGTTCAACGTCCTTACAGTAGTTGAAATCTGTCAACGGTGTTACGCACGCCACTTTCCGCATTGCATGCCAGGCCCTCAATTTATTGGAAAACTACCCATACCGGGATGCATGTATTAGTGTTGCGTGCAGCACGTCCCATCCACATCGAATTCGCTCATTGTTTGCATTCTTACTGACCGCCTGCTCTACTTCATCTCCAACAAATTTGTGGGAAAAATATAAAATGCACATGGCTGAGGATATCGTCCGTCGACTACGCAGGGAAAATTCCAAATGCGGATTTCACAGCAGGAATCTACACCGAGGCGTTAATAGTGATTGTGGATATGTACGTAAGAAATTCCGAAAACAATTCCTAATCAACCGGGAATGTCCTCATCAAACCGGCCTTCTTCTGTTTCGTTAGATGTGGATTTGCGCCGTGAGCAAAAAAACGGGCGAGGCTCTCGATCGAACACTGCAAGATGTGCGTGGAAAGAGCAGACCATTTGGAGACATTACTGCTATTGCTTGCAGGAGACTTCGGGCAGACACTGCCTGTAATTCCTCCATCGGCAACAGCAGACGAAATAAATGCGTCTGAAACACTTTTCTCTGTGGCGCCAAATCCAGACGGTAAAAGTAACTACAAATATGCGTGTACAGCTGCAAAACTACCGATCAACTGAGGTATTGTCATAGTAATTGCTGGCAATCGGGAATGCAACGGTGTCCACTGATCCCAATACAAGAAGTATTTCCTTACGTCTTAGCCTCGACAATTTAGTGTCGTCAAAAGAGGAGTTGATTGAAAAGGTGTTTCCCACTATTCAGACCATTTTCAACAATCACTGCTGATTGTGCGAGCGAGCCATTCTTGTGACCAAAAACAAAGACGTGTACCATCATTACCACATGATTACGTCTAAGATTCAAAGCGGGGGCAGTCACATACACGTCCGTCGATACAGTTGCAGAAGCAGACGAGGCAGGTTAATTATCCAACAGAGATTTTGAATCAACCTGAGCCACAGCAACGCGTGGCCGGGCCCAGCTAGTTGTTCTATAATATTTCAGTTACTTCCGGGTGCCAGCCTTCGAATAACCTTCTTCCCGGTTGCATGCAAAAAATATACTCTGTAAAAGTGATTACTCATCTAGCATACATTTTTCTCATTGATTTACGATGCCCCTAAACATTCAATCATATTTCATAGAAAACATAAATACAAATATTGATTCTATTGCTGATTCGGTAGAAAATGAGGTCTTTTCCTAATTTTATACGCAAAGAAAGGGTATAATTTCGTTTTGAAAAAATTCCCAATTGCGAGATTTTAATACCGTGGAATTGTCGTTCATAAAACGTCATGTCTCTGCATTTACCAATGGGGCTTGTAAAGTTAACAATATGGCTCAAATCCACGGTTAAAGTTTAATGAACCCCATATGGTCTCCTCTTAATGCCGTAAAGAAATTTATAGTTTTCCCCGAATGCAAGTGTAACGGCAGTTCGGGTTCAAAATTGGTTGGGCATTGGAGACGTTTTTGAAAACCATAATATACCCTTTCTTCGAGTATAAAATTTGAAGAAAACGTCAATTGCTACCGAATGAGCAGCAGAATGAATATTTTTATGCACGTTTTCCATGAAATATAATTGAATGTTTATGGGCGTCGAAAATCAATGACAAAAATGCATGCTACTTGAGTAGTCATTTTTACAGAGTATATTTTTTACATGCAACCGGAAAGACTTTCGTTCGAAAGCAGAACTCCTGTGTTAAATGAATTATTATGGATTTACGCCTTGCGATGACTAGTTTTTATAACCCTACTTGATTAATCTGTTCACAAAAAACGCATTTCGGAATTTCTGTTGACATTTTATGAGTCAGCCCACCTACTGTTCGATCAAGACCTCTAAATCAACAAAGTGGCCACTGAGCCGTTGTCGGACTGTGATTACTACAAACTACCCATTTTTTGTTTACATAGGGCTTTCTGTAAATTAGAAAAGTCATAACTGCGGAAGACATGCCTACGTGGTTATTTTTAGTGTTAGGTGGCACGCTTAGTTTGCAAAATTATTACCACTAAGGATTGTTCCTGCACAGAATATCCACCACTTCATGGCCAGCATGAAAAGTCCTGCGATGGCAAGCCTAAACCACAGTTTCCAGTCCTGCCACATCTCCCTTCTGTAGCCTGGAAATAAAAAAGCCCAGATCAACGCAAATCGAAAATTGCAATGATGAGCCAAAAGTAATTTCTGGCGTATAAATATAGGCTTAAAACGGTTCCTTCAGTGTTATTAGGGAAAAGATAGGCGAATGCCTTTGAACTCCCTATTGGTTGCATGTTGTCAAAGAAAAAGCACCAATAAGTGGAAAATTGGGAGGGAGATTGTTTGCATAACTGCATGCGAAAATCAGACAGTCAATTATGAGTAAACAAGGTAAACGCTGACGTTCACTCACTCAATGCAAGTATTTTACACATATATAAGTTCATGCTGGCCCAAATGTGGGACTCCCGGCGCCTTGGTGGTATTCAAGCTCACGACAGCCAAGGGTAGGCTTTAGTTCAGCCACATGAGCTAAGAAGCACCGAGTTTTTCCCAGTTGAGTCAATATGAATTATTCCAAATCTGGCAGAACATCTATGAATGTATAAGTTCGACAGTTGGTTATGTGGATGCATGTGTGGCCGGTTACGTGTCGAGTCTACATTTAAATAAATTCACACACGGAATGTACACTGACCTACAGTAAACCACCTTGGTCACAAATTATAAAAAGTTCAAATGGCCAAGAAAACATGGTAAGCTCAAAATATTTAAACGCCCCTACTGCAACGCATTTTTACAAAATTTGCTACATATTTTGTTTAAATAGCCTGATGTAATTTAAAAATTATCCTCCGTTGCATTACACGCATAGGCAGGCATGTGCCAAGACAGTACTAGCTGCTCCGTAGTCTAACCTGTGGCCATGGATTTTGTTTAGGCAGCTTGCATTCCTCATTTCCAGTTGTAAAGCCCCCCACCCCCTACCAGGGGAATCTAATCGGACGAAACAGGGACTGTTAGGCTTGTGCATGGTTCGTTTACACGTCATTCCAGTCATCGTGGCCTGAATAAGCGTTCTGCTTATCGTAGACAGGCAGCTGGATAGTGATGGCTACCTAAATAATGCACTCAAGGGTCTAATAGCTATGACATAGCAATGACTTCTATGTAACTGAGATATCTGAGGCCGACCTACTTAGGTTTAGAGCCACGATCATAAGTATCTTAACAAATAGTAATTGTCTATGGACCTTCTGGACCAGTTCTCCTTTATGCAGCAGGCACGCAGCATTTCCGCTGTGTTATTGCGTGAGACCTTATCGTTTGTTTTCAAGTTGTATAGGTTTATGTTTTGTGATTATCTGATAGATCAGGACACTTAAATTGCGTTAATATGGTTTTTACTTTTTTTATCTACTTTAAGAATTATCTTCGTTGAATCTGGTACGTTTCACCTGCTAACCCCCTTTTGCATATTAGAGGTGATTCTGTCGCAAATGTCAGGGAAGGAGAAGGGTAAATATTCAAAACTAATCAAGATTTGTCCAAATCAAAGGTTTATATACAGGAAACAAATGCACTCAAATAGGCAACGATTAAAAGTGGATGAACAATGCACGACTAAGTGAGTTCCTAATAGGCAAGTCATTGTTAGTAGTGGTAATGCGATTCCCAGGTGGCCTATTAAAAGGAGAAGAGGCGTTCACCGGGTGAGGTTTATTGGGGGTCCGACGTTTCGAGTAGTTGATTCGTCTACCCAGCTTCAGAGACTGGAATGTCCTGCGCACAGCTCGCTTTATATATGAACCTTCTTAGCGGGGGACAATTACGGCGCGGGACAATCGGGCCGTCGGTCATCTCCGCGGCCGGGGGGGACGATTTAGTTCACGGCGACATGCGCGTTGGATGCAGCCACACAGGCGGCATTGCGGGTCACGCATTGAACAAAGTGCGCCATATGAGGGGAGCTGTACGTAGGACGTTCCAGTCTCTGAAGAGGGGTAGACGAATCAACTACGCGAAACGTTGGACCTCCAATAAACCCCTCCCGGTGAAAACCTCTTCTCATTGTAATTACAAAATGGCAGTATGAAATTTGGGAGTGGTTGAAGATTAATAACGTTAAGTAACATTTAACTTCTTTTAGCTTAACACCAGGCGTTTTAAACTAGTGAGCGAATCTTGCATTGGGTGTGCAAGACTGTGCCCTCGACAAAGACGTATGGTGCAAGTCATCTGACGGTTTGGCCTGTTCGACTTTGACTTGAGAAAGAATAAGGGTGGATTTCGGAATCAAATAACCGACGAATACGTCGGGGAAGGGGGACAGCCTACGCATCCAGGGAACTTATGACGCCGCTGCTCAAAATCAGATCAGACGGAACTTCAGTAGCTCACAATCCCGCCTCAGGTGTTTGCCTCAGATATCTGTTGTCAAGTTACATACAAATGTTTGAAGGCTAGCTCGACTGTACATGCACAGCGTTCCCACAACGCGCGGTTATTCAACCGCGACAGGTGGTTTGCCCACATACTCGCATCCTGTTTGGCGTACCTGCCGGGCACTCTTTGTGGAGACATGTTTGGTCTTTCGTGCAGAAATAAGTCCTCCTATTGGTGTCTCACAGCTTCCTCTCCGAACTAGGGCTCGTCCGCGTCAGCTCAGCTACTGTGGCCAAGTCACCGAAGCTTTATGCTAACAAGGAGGCTATTTCTCATGCGTAACCTGAGCATGTTTTGGTGAAATGGAGGCCCGCAGTATTGAGGTCCATTCGCGGGTATTTTCTTGCACGTGTTTTGAGGGTGATTTGCACCCATAAAGGATCGTGAATTTGATTGGCTATTTAACTGGTCGCTGATGGGTGGCGTCAAGGTCACACTAACACGTCCATAGTGCTATGGCCCAAAGTCGGTCCATATGGGCAAGACTTATAACTAGGCAAAATCACCTGCTACGGGGTGCCGCCGAAGGCCGCAATAGTTGTGGTAGCCTACAGAAGTAATCCCGTGTCAACTGTGACTTGGGGACCTGAAACCAATCACAACCGTCATGTTTACAGTTTGCGGACTTGGGTTGTTGTTGTTGTCCGATAGCGTAAATACTATCTGAACCGCCATTAGTACTTAGAGGAAGTAGATCGCTTGCAACTGCCCGTAAGTTAATTCTACGATCTCGAAGAGCGAGTGGGAATTTGTTTAGGTATTGGCAGTTAAAGGAGGAGGAGGAGGAGGAGGAGGAGGAGGAGGAGGAGGAGGATGGAGTTTTGAAAAGGATGTGGGATGTAAGAAAACTTCTCACCTCCCCAGGTGGTGGCGAAGGACTTGGAGAAGTAGAGGTAGGCAATGCACAACAGTGAGGCCAAAATAAAACTCAATGACTGAGAAATTGCCGATCCCCTAAAAAGCACGTAGAAAACCTACCGAGATTAGAGTTTATAAGACAGAACACTTGTAAATTCAATCACGAGGATGAAAGTGCTGTACAGTTAGTGACCTAACTCATGAAATGTATCGAAATTTACGAATGATTGCCAATCACTCGCAAACCGATACCATTTCATGAGTCCGATTTCTATGTTAATTAAGTGCAAGTTTAAAAGAATTAAAAACATTAAAGAAATATTAAAGGCAGTGTTGCGTTGTTTAGAAATGCCGATTTATTTTGAAAAGCGCAATATCCCAAAAACGTCAGAAATGGCTCTAATTAAGGAAAGTCCGTTTTTAGATATATAAAATGTATTCTCACACCAAAAACGTAGTAAATATGAAAGCAGATGTAAAATAACGTCTAATAACAGTGTTTTAGTGAAGTTTACATCTAAGTATCGTTTAATAAGTAGAGTGATTTCATATGTGACGGTTTGTCAACTGCCTACATTCCGAGTGTAGATTCCAAAAGAGTTTTCAAGTGTTTTGTTTCGAATTTTATTTCTTTGGTGTAAATGAGATGGGGTTCAACAAGAAAAGCTTCATTTTGCTTGATTTCACCGATAGGGACGTCGTAGGAACAAACCGGTCGGCGCCTAATAAATTTAAATAGAGCTAACAGGCCTGATCGTAAACATACTATTTTGTGTTTATAGAGAGAACTTTTCTTCCGTTAAATTAATTTACACTTCTCGTTTGTTTTGGATTACGTTGAGTTTCAGATAGGCCTCGAAATATTGCTGAGTACTTCGTGATTTTCAGTGTTTTCACCCGATCTTCTATAAAGACGGATTCTGAATCACTTGTATGCGTATGTGCATAAACATGTAGACAGAATAACACTGCAGACGAACGAAAGGGGTTTGGAATTGTCATTTCGGGCTTATCGGCTATCAGCGGCGAGTTATATCCGACCCTGAGTTATGCAATCCCTGGCCCGAACTCGCGACCTATTGGTTAGAAGTCGAGCGCCCTATCCATTGCCCCACAGGTTTTTCGTCCTGCCAATTACTACCGAGTATGTTTGCAATGCCTAAATAGGTGTTTTGGCAGATTTCGAATGATTTATTTTGACCCAACTGTGAAAAAACTTTGTGGAACTTGATTCCTCAACAGCAAGGGGAGGTTTTAGTGAGTTTAGTCACGGTTGGGTCAAGTTACCCGCCAAACCTACTTCAACGTCTGGAATCCACCAAATCTGATTCAGTAGGCTGACTACCCAAGCAGGATTTCCTATGTATTCCATCTAGAATCCACCTGATGACTACCAAGCCTATTCCGCCTCTATCGCGCGCCGCTGTCCATTTGACATCTAGTCCTGAGACGTAGGGCCCCCTGCCATTAGGCGAAACGACAAACGTCATCCATCGGGTCCGTTGTAGCTCCTGCTAAGTTAAATACGCCGGTGAGACGGGCAAACGAGTACAGACCCTTGTTAAACAAACGCATGCGAGAGTGGAGGAAAGGGAATCATTGTCTCTTGTAGCGGAACACTGCTCAGGCTCTGGAAACGCATTCGCCTTCCAAAATGTCGAAATTCTGGATCGAGAAAATGACCGCGAGGACTGGCATACGGAGATTACCTCAGTCGAGCTTTGTGTCGTCTTTCGGACGCAGCACAACCAATGAACTAGCAAGCGCGAAGTAAAGTCAGACAGGAGTCCAAACACGCACGAACCTACGACGAACACCCACGTACCCATATCACTATCCGAGCTCGACGAAGGCATCAGTACTGTTGCATCAACCGCTGTCCCGGCAGTCGAACAGACGCAAGCCATGCAAGCAACTCAGGGCGGCAGCTGAGATCATCGAGGATACGGTTAATGACCACCAACGTCCAAACGCCACCTCCTCTCCAAGAGAGACACGCACACTGACAGCAGTCACCCTCCTTTCCCCTCCGCCACTACAGAAACGACCCCTGTACGATGAGAGCCAAAGTCGAATAAAGATTCCCCATCACGGCCACTCTTCAGCGTACACTGTTAAGATAAACCCGCAGAAGTGACGTTGTGTAAACATTGCCGTCACACACTATGCATACTGGGCGTAATGGTACAATTTTTACATCCGACGATGGAGGCTTGTCTGCTAATGAAGCATCGGGGAAATTAAATTACGGCTCCCAAGATTACCTATTCTTTTAATTCATGTCCGGAGGCTCTCATCTTCGCTTTTATTACATAGAGTATGTGAGCTATCTCATGAAATGTCAACTGAAATTACGAAATGCGTTTTGGTTTCGAAAATATTAATTAAGTAGGGTTGTAAAACGAATCATCATGTAGCGAAATACTGTAATAATTCAGTTAACTCAGGATGCCGGTCTTCGAATGAACTTCTTGCCGGCTTCATACAAAAACCATACTCTTTAAAAAATGACTACTTAATTGGCATGCACTTTTCTAGTTGATTTTCGATGCTCTTAAACATTCAATCGTATTTCATAGAACACATGCATAAAAATATCCATTCTTTTGCTCATTCGGTGGAAAATGGCGTCTTCTTCCAACTTAACGCTCAATGGCACCGTATGATTCTGCTTTAAAAATGTTTATAACTTGGATTTTTAATACCGTGAAATGGTCGTTCATAAAACGTCATGTCTCTGCATTTACCAATTTGTCATGTAACTTTAACAATATGGCTCAAATTCCCTGATAAATTTTATGAACCCTATATGGTCTCCTTTAAATACTGTAGAGAAATATATGGTTTTCCGCATAAAGAAAATATACGGCTTGTAGTTTGGAAGCCCTGACTACAAGTGTAACGACAGGTCCGGTTCAAAAGTATTCGGGAATTGGAGAAGTTTTTGAAAACCGTATTATACCTTTCTACTTAGTATAAAACTAGAAGAAGACATCATTTTCTACCGAATGAGCAATAGATTGAATCTTTTTATGCATTTTTCCGTGAAATATAATTCAATGCTTAAGGTCATCGGTAATCGATAAGAAAAATATATGCTACTTGAGTAGCCATTTTTTGTTACAGTGTTTAGCTTTTGCATGCAGTCAAAAAGAAATTTGTTCGAAAGCTGGCATCCTGAGGTAACTGAATTATTATAGTATTACGCTTCGCGATGATGAGTTTTACAAACCTACTTAATCAATCTTTTCAAAACGAAAACACATTTCGGACTTTCGGTTGACACTTCATGAGTTAGCCTAACTACTGTATATATTTCAGAAGAAAACACGATCACAGGAAGCATGATTGGATTGCTCCGACGTTCAAATAGCAAACAAGCTTCCATCGTCGGAAGTGAGTATCCTTGAGTTCCTCTTGCCCATCATCCTCCATAATTAATGTAAGGCCTCGTATGACATTCACCTCCCTTTATGGAAATTTGTCTGCTTACGAAGCATCAGGACATTGCAACTATTGCTCTCAAGATCGCCTTCACCTCTCATTCGGGGGACGCGCTTATTCACTTCTATTAACGACATATACAAATATGTGCAGATAAGGGAGTACCATCTCCCTACCCAAATTCTGACGTCGCAATGTTTATTCCATGTAACGCACATAAGAACTATTCAATTTCAACTTCATTTTTCCTGTACGCGACTATTTAGGATTCTTATGTGCCAAAATTTAGTTTACACGATTGCACTCATCCGTCCGCTCTGTTACTGAGTCGGTTTCAGGTTAGATCAATCCAGCGCCTGCACTGGTTCTCCATCGCGATCTGTCAAGATGACGTCTTAAATTGCCAAATCCAAACGCGCGCCCTAGCAGCGGCGAAAAGTTGGAGGAGAGACTTTTATTTTCAGTAGAACCTACAGGGTTTCTCGAATAGGAGTCTGCTTGACCTAACTGTAACAGCATTTGTTTGCAGGCGACTGAATCTTTCACTTTACCTGGAAGCTTACCTGATGCCAAGACCTGTGTGGAAGAGCAGAAGGTAGTGAAACAGGGCATTCGCTCCATTGCCGGTTATCGCAATGACCATCGGAGCAATAACGATGTTCTTAAAGAGAAATAAATCGGGTGGCAGTGATAGTGTACCGGAATTGCTAGTCGCTTCACTTAACTACGCTAAGCTTACTGACGGTAATTTTAGCAAACAAAAACGCTTGATCCAGACTTTACATTTCATGATGCTAAGTAGTCATTACGTGTCCGAAGGCAGAAGACTGGATATACTTGAATGCGATCAGTTGCCGGTTTATAAAGTTAATTCGTACTTCTCTTCCGCATCTTTTAAATGTCATAATAGTGGCCCTCTGAAAACCCCCTGAATAACAACCTTTTAAATTATTTATAACAGATCAAAATTCTTTTTGTAAAAAGATGCTCGTTATTTTAGTTTCCTCCTCTATCTACAATATGCGGTTAATATTTGCGGCGGCCTTTCACTAACCAAATATAGGTCTACTAAGAATGTTAAGATGCTCTTTTCTTTCTGGTAAGCTTAATTATTTCCGCACTAGGGTAACAATAAAGTACAAAAGGAAGGCAGTAAATGATGGAATTTAAAACGAAACATTGCTCAAAGTCCAATTACCTGTGCTTGGATGTACTTTAGCAGAAGTTTGTACCAGGCAGCGAACTAGAAGGAACGAAATTTTGGAGATGGGAAGTGGGTCTTACCAAAAGAGTGGGCATTTCGTAAAGAAGGTACTCGGCGGCCAACCTGAAATAAAGGGAAGTGGAGGGAGGGAGATGCGCAAAGGGTTCGGCAGGTAAAAAATTCCACTAATATGAAAATGTCCACGAAAACAAAGCCGGATTTATGGAAGGAAGTTACTCGGAATTAAGCTTGAATCCTGAAAGATAACTAAGCACATTTCACTCTGTTGAACCCACGGGCCGCCACCGAGGGGAGAACACCAACTCCTACGGGAACCCATGCAAGGCGACTTACACTGTTCAGCTACCGGGCGTGATGTGTGAATTTGCGAGGTTGGGTTCATTCCGTAGGAGAGGACAAAGCGTCCTCTAAATGGGATTTGTTTTGGAGAAGCTAACTACGCAGGGATCTCTACATGAAAACGTCGGGTTTCCAGGCCCAACGACAGAACAACATAAACTTGGAGTAGGCAGTTTTCGTGGGGTTGAGTCTTACGCAGACGCACATCTGAAAATTCCGTCTTGTACGCAAGCATCGGCAATCCCACGCCCACGTCACTTATCTTTTTTGAAGGCAGCTTTGACAGTCCTAATGCAGTCCTAAGACTGTATGTGGATTAGTGAGTTGGACACACGGTCTTAGAGTTACTCATTACCTTTTAAGGTTGCACATTCTTCCCGACACCCGATAGCAGCCAGCTGTGCATTCCATCAAGGTAAATAGTGTCTTGCCGAGTCTGTCTATTTGACTTCCGTTTTGGGCACGGCATATGCCAGTGGACAGCAATCCTAAACCTCAAAACTATTTATGCTGCAACTTCGCTGAATTAAATCGACGTTAAGACTGACTCTGGACATGCAGAATGGTATTACCGACAAAGACAAGGGAGACTGGAACGGCCATTTCTGGCTTATTAACCGTCGTCAGCCAGTCATGCCCCACTCCTAAGTGTGGAACACCCGAGGCTCGAACTGGCGACCTGTTAGTTAGAAGTCCAACACCTCTAACCACTGAGCCACGAGCCCGTTGCCCTGTGGGTTTTCGATCGGGAATATACAATGGTAGGGGGGAAACGGGCTCGTCAGTTCGAGCCTCGGGTGTTCCACACTTCGGAGTTGGGTATGACTGGCTGACGACGGTTAATAAGCCAGAAATGGCCATTCCAGTCTCCCTTATCTTTGTCGGTAATGCCATTCTACTTATATCATGCGCTGCTGTACGACTGTTCGTTGGGCTCGAGAGAGAGAGTCCATAAGGTACAACGGAACGAGTGAGTTCTGTAAGAACGATCGGTGAGCATCCCCGACCATTCTGGACATGCAATTATCGAGCTGTACGGAGTCCACGTGGGCCCATAACTACTGTTGCATATAGGAGGTGTGTGGTGGAACGCCTTAGCCGCAGACTCCCATGCCGCGTCAACCACTGCGCCCAATCCAATCATAATCTGCTTCACAGGTCCGGATTAGTGCTTTGGCGAGGGAGTGGGTGAGGCCGACACTGGCGAATCAATCCCTACGGCACATCACTATAACAAAACCTGACGATTTTGAAACTGCCGTCACGCTCTAATATTCTTGGCTTGAGTGCCTGTCAACCGACAGAATGAATCAGCGCTCATGGTATTTTGGGACGACTGGAGGACTAATAGTCAGGACGCAATGGTTTCATTGACTCCGTGTTTTTGTTGTTCTCTGTTGCGCAGGGCGCAAAAGGTGCGGAGCCACGGCCTATGGCGAAACGACGACGCAAGCACGCGCCGTGCAGCAAGCCAAGCCGGCCGCGGACAGCCAATTAGCGTCCGCCGCAGAATGGAGCACGCGTGTTACCTTTGCTCACGTGTGCGGCCAATCGATCGACACTTTCTCACAAGGGAATCTCGCGCACGAACCGACCAATCGCCGACCGGAACGCGACAGGCCGGAAGTTTCTGGAACGCTCGTCACGAGTTAGCATGCGAGAGGACTGAATATTCCAAACCGCTTAGGGGACTAAATAAATAAGGCGAGTTTAGATAAATGAAAAACCTCCATGTTCGCAGGCTGCCAATAATGCGCTTGTTTTCCGAACCGGCTCTCTTTCTATTCCACCTTCTAGTCGGGTCAAAACATTTTCACTGGCACGAGGTCCTATCCGGCTTAATGAAAACCTGGTGCATGCACTGGCGACTAGGCCGTTTGTGGCACATGCCGAGAGGGTCCAAAACGCTAGTTTAGATGCGCAATAAAGTTATAGCACAGCAAACTGAAGTATCCACAATAAGCAGGCACAGATCGCACCGTGAGCTGCTATGCCTCGCTTTAACCAAAATATCGAAAGAAGAAATGCTTTCATGGCAACCACTACCGCCGGTTTCTAATGCGTAAGTATGATTCCTTCCCCTTGACTGAAAATTTGTTGATTTTTAGAAAAATTGTTAGCAAAGGAATGAATGAATACACTTTTTTCGGTTAAAAACTCGATAACTGTTCGATCTCTGACTCAGTAAGTTGGATGAGAAATTTTATATTATACCCTCTGGAATACCTTATCTAAGGAAAGACCAAGTACCATCCCCGGTAGTTATTAACACAAAACAGGGCGTACTTAGAAACCTCCGGGTTTTGTTTCATGGCCAGAAGCAGAGGTTCGACGGAAAGATGTACTCCCCAACAGAAGAAGCAGCAGCAGAGGCAGATGTATGCGGCTAAAGTGGGATAAATTTGTGCAGTTATTCAAGTGAACAGTTCTCGTTGTTTCTCAATTTTGGATTTACGAAACCTCCATCAATGAACCGTCCGATATTCCACGGCTGAAGATCAATTCCTATGGCCCTAGGGAGCCAGTGCGTTGTTGGCAAGCTTAGAAATGACATCCGTTTCATCAGTCACCGCTGCGTTCGTATCCATCCCCAGTTACCCTGATTATTTGCATTTGGGATGAGAGAGTGAAGCAAATGACGCGTGTGTCTATATAATTGTAACTTAATATACGGACAAATCGCCGTTGTGCGAGCACCCCAGCCACCTGAGTTACGATGTCGACCATGAGCCCTGAACTTTCCAAATTGGAGCAAATTACTCGTTCGACCTACTGCAACACACTGAACCCATAATTTCTATTACAACAGATCGATTACCCGAGCAAGTTTTTGTGCAATCGATGTAGGATCAAAAAGATAGGTACCAGACTCCATTTTAAATGGGTATTTTGGCATACTTGAGTGATTTGACTGACAAAATTGTGGCAAACTCGACAATATAGACGGGAATCAAATCCTGTACCAGGGGTATGGTGGTACGCCTAGGTGCGAGTTCGGCCGTAGCAGGCACCTGCGCCCTCTCCCGACTCCGGTCTTCTTGACTGTGTCTTGTCACCGGGCCCATGTGGGGGGAGGAGAAGGCATGGTAGATGCTGCGTACAGTGCGTGACCGATCTCATGAAATGTTGGCGAAAATTCTGGAATGCGTTTCCGATTAGGAAGGATTCCTTAAGTGGGGTTGTTATACTGATTATTGTGCGGCGTAACCTTATAACATTTCGGACTCGGCTTTTAAATGCACCTCTTTTTGACCTCTTGCAAACACCACACTCGGTAAAAAATGACTGCTTAAGTAGCATGCAGTTTTCCTATTGATTTTCGACGGTCTTATAAATTCAAATATATTTCAAAGAGAACATGCACAAAAATATGCTTTCTTTTGCTCATTTGGTAGAGAATCACATTGTCTTCATATTTTCTGCCCGAAGAAAGTGTATATTTTGGTTTTAAAAAAGTTTCCATATTCCCGAATAATTTCCAGCCTGATCTGCCATTGCATCAGCGTTTAGTAATTTGAGTCTACAAGGTGCATGCTTTCCGCGTAAGGAAAATCATATATTCCTCTAAGCCTTTAAGAAGATATTACATTGAGTTAATGATATTTTGCAATGGATCTGGACTATGTTGTACATTTCATGAGGAGCATTAGTAAACGGACATGAGCGGTCTTGCATGCATGGACATCGCACGGTCTCAAAAATCTCATAATTAGAAACTTTTTGAAAACCTAAATAAACACTTTCTTCTGGCAGAAAATATGAAGACAATGTGATTCTCTACCAAATGAGCAAAAGAAAGCATATTTTTATGCATGTTCTCTATGAAATATATTTGAATTTATAAGACCATGGAAAAACAATAGGAAAAATGCATGCTACTTAAGTAGTCATTTTTCACCGAGTATGATTTCTGCAGGAGATCAAAACGAAGTGCATTCAACAACTGACTACCTGGCGAGTCCGAAGTGTTATAAGGTTACGCCGCACAATAATCAGTATAACAACCCCACTTAAGTAATCCTTCCTAATCGGAAACGCATTCCAGAATTTTCGCCAACATTTCATGTGATCGGTCACGCACTGTAAGTGCATTCTCATTATAAAATACTTCGTGCGTAAGTCACCGTGCCTGCTTCACCTTGTTTTGCAGCACAAGATAAACGTCTTTGGACTCGACGGCCCAAATGTCACTGAACAAAGCGGAATCGCAATGCAGTAGTTCATGGCTCGGTAGCTTATTCGTTACTCACCTTTTTCAGGCAAGTCGATAGGAGTCTGGGGCTGCTAACGAGCACACTTCCTTGCCGTTCTCGTTCCTTCTTCGTCAAACTCCCACCGTCGTGCGTCCCAAGCAGGTTTTGCGCATCCGCTCGGCGCGTTCTAGGTCGTTAGCCCTCACGACTGAAGTCTACACACGCGTGTATTAGGCAGCCAGCAGCAAGTCGCACATTCCTGGCGGTCATGTCTCTACACCAACTCTCCTAATTATACTTCACACGCCAGTTCGACCATCGATTTCGATGATGTCCGCCGTGTGCCCCACAGCTGCAGCAGCGGTGGGAGCAGGGACGGTGACTTACGCAGGGGTTTATAGTGCCAGTAGACTTGCGTAGCATCTACCTACACTCTCTCCTCCTCCCCCGCCTGAGCCCGGTGTCAAGACCAAGTCAAGAAGACCGGAGACGGGGGAGGCCGCCGGTGGATGGCTCGGACGGATCCTCGCCTTGGCGCTCCACTCCGCACCCCTGGTCCACACACCAAGACCAGGATTTTGACCACAAAACAATGGGGTGATGGCAGTGGTCCAGTTGTGCGACGATTGCCGACAACAGGGTCTGCCAGCGCACCCCGTAGATGTTGGCATTTGTTATTGCGCACAGATAACGCCTGCCAGATTCCGACGTGGCCCCCGTGTTGGTCCAGCGCATCTAACACGTGGCCCGTTTGGAGGGCGGCCTAATTATACTTAATGATTTCCTTACTAAACGAAACAACTGGATATACACACGCGCTCCTCGGCGACGGTTGAATATGCAAACCTTACTTTTATATTACTATAATATGCCTGTGTATTTGAATTAGGTAAGCATGTTGTATTAGGGTTAGGCGATGGTAGGTTGCGTAACCCCATCTCTTCAACAAATTTAACTGTCATATGATTGCTTATGAAAGGCAATATGCACAAGTACTCCTAAAGGAATAAGTAAATGGGGTGCACGCGTTCGACAACAGAAACCATTCAGATATATCGAGTAAGCAGAGCGTTTGTGTTCTAACCGAGAGAAATAAACCAAAACGCGGCCGGCGGTCCTTGCAGCACGTACGGTATGGTGAGTACCGACATGGCACAAAAAGCTTTAGCTACTCTTCCGGAAGAAATAAGTAAGTCACGGCGTAGAGAATCGACAACGAAAAGCAATGCAAGTACATTGGGAAAACTACGTAATCAAGGTAAGACACAGGGGTTATGGGGAAGGGAAGCGCGAACATCATGCCAGATAATTTACCACTAAAGAAGTAGGTAAGATGTGGTTTGGTAGCCCAACCTGATGGCGCAATACTGTTGGGGTTGGAGTTGTGCCCTCTAAACGGGCCACGTGTTAGATGCGCTGGACCAACACGGGGGCCACGTCGGAATCTGGCAGGCGTTATCTGTGCGCAATAACAAATGCCAACATCTACGGGGTGCGCTGGCAGACCCTGTTGTCGGCAATCGTCGCACAACTGGACCACTGCCATCACCCCATTGTTTTGTGGTCAAAATCCTGGTCTTGGTGTGTGGACCAGGGGTGCGGAGTGGAGCGCCAAGGCGAGGATCTGTCCGAGCCATCCACCTGCGGCCTCCCCCGTCTCCGGTCTTCTTGACTTGGTCTTGACACCGGGCTCAGGCGAGGGAGGAGGAGAGAGTGTAGGTAGATGCTACGCAAGTCTACTGGCACTATAAACCCCTGCGTAAGTCACCGTCCCTGCTCCCACAATGCAGTCTGTGGGGTACACGGTGGACATCATCGAAACCGATAGTCGAACTGTCGGGGTTGGGGTTAAGGTTTAGGGGTTATAGTTAGGGTTTAGGGTTACGGGTTAGGGTTGAAGATTAGAGTTAGGGGTTGGGGCTCAGGACTAGGGCTTACAGTTAGGGGTTAGCGCAACTATTTCTCAACCACTCAACGTACAACCGCGCATTTCCAATAGCTTTTATTTTGCATACAACTTCTTGACCTCGTCGCCTGTGCGTTCCCCGGCTCCAACTGTAAAAACCCCTATTACTACCGGTCCCGTATTAGAGCTGACTGGGCTTTGTTTACTTCAGATGGGGCTCCCAAACCACATCCGACCAAAATATCATACTGAAACTACTCGGTGCATGCGGCCATATCCAGGTGTTAGATAACACACAAAGGGGGATTTCCCGTAGCTAGAGATTAATAAACAAAAGAAGGCTTTCTAAAACACATATGGTAGTTACTTATACATACTGAACCCAGGGGGGTTACACGACCTATCATTAACACACGTTAATTTGCGGTTAAGGCTAGGCTTATGGCTAGGGTTAAGTAAAACATTACGGCTAGGTAAAGGGTTACAATGAGGGTCAATTTTGCCTGCCATCTACCATTTTACACAATTCGGTGTTCTTTAACCAATATGTCATATCAAATCAAGCAGAAAACAGGAGTCTTGGATTACCCCTAAGTCGCGTATTTCTATCTGCGCAGTCTGTCCCGGTACCTCGTTGCAGCAATAAAATATGGTCAACCCCGACAGGGGCTCCGCAATCGCCAAAAATCACCCGAAAGGCCAAGGTCGCGAGAGAAGGGAAAATCGATCAGTATGTGGTTGACCAACGTGGCATACTACTTCTTTTTCTTTTCGATTAAGTGCATTTTACACTTTGACAACGGTGAGACGACTAAGCTCTCCGAAACGTCATCATCTCAAAAAACTTGTTCGGGCGGGCCCTTCTTAGTTCTCAGCTTTACCGGTAATAAAGCAAAAGTATGAGGGAAATGCAAGCTTTCTCAATGTTTCATGCAGATTCTGTTAACTGCGTCCCCAACTGCCCTAATGATAAAACTAATGTTAACATTTTTACCGTATTTCAGGAGTCTCTGGGTCTTATTTGCTGACTGGGCCTACATATCGAATCCTCACCGGATCTTTTTGACAACCCTTTTAACGTTCTCACAGATAAATACGCTCACTTGGAGTAGAGGCTTCGGGACAAGCCGTTTTACCCCCGGGCCGAATGTTGATATGAGTACTTCAGCTGCAATCCGTCAGCTGCGACGGTTAGGCAGAACATTACGGCTACGGAAAGGGTTAGAATTGGGGTTAATTTTGCCTGCCACCTACCAACTTATACAATTCGGCGTTCCTTAACCAATATGTCATATCAAAGTAAGCCAAACAGATGTATTTGGAGCAGACGGCAGAAGTCTTAGATTACCTGTTTTCTGCCAACTTACACGCCCCCTAATTCGCGTATTTCTATTTGCGCAGCCTGTGCCGATACCTTGTTGGAGTAATAAAATCTGAGCAACCCCACGAGTTGGTGACTCACAAAGCACGCAGCCGAATAACCCGTCAAACATCACCCGAATGGCCAAGGCAGTGAAAGAGGCGTAAAAACGATCAGCATGAGGCCGACCAGAGTAGCATACCACTCCCTTTTCTTTCCGATTATGTGCATTTTACGCATTGACAATAGTGAGCCGGCTAAGCTCTTCGAAACGTCATCATCTCTCAAAAAACCTGTTCTGGTAAGCCTTTCAAATGGAAAAACCCGCTCTCTCAACTTTACGGGTAATAAAACAAACATATGACGGGAATGCTGGTTTTCTCAATGTCTCTCTCAGATTCTGTTAACTGCCGCCCCCACCTGCCCTAATGATAAAACTAATGCTAACTTGAAGAAGGAGACACGATCGCCGGGACAAGAGCTTTATTAGCCTGACGTTTCGGATTCCTACTCGAATTCATCATCAGAGACAAAAAAGCAGAAACGGGTGGTTGTTGCACAAGGGGCTGCGGTATTTATCTAAATAAATATAAATAATACCGCAGCCCCTTGTGCAACAACCACCCGTTTCTGCTTTTTTGTCTCTGATGATGGATTTGAGTAGGAATCCGAAACGTCAGGCTAATAAAGCTCTTGTCCCGGCGATCGTGTCTCCTTCTTCAAGACCACTTCCTGGGACTCGTCTCTTCGTTTCTATTGACCAATGCTAAAAAAATTTCCGTATTTCAGGAGTCTCTGGGTCTTATTTTCTTACTGGGCTTACATTTCGAATCCTAACCGGATCATTTCAATAAGCTTTTGTGACGTCCTCAGACCTAAGTGCGATAACTTGGAGTAAATACTTCGAGACAGACCATTTTACTCTAAGACCGAATGTTGATATGAATAAGTTGGCTGAAATCCGTCAACTGTGACGGAATAGCCGAGTAATATTCACAACCTACCAATAGGCATCCAGTAGTATATAAGTGTTGAATACTTCACCATGCTGATAGCAGAGGTACTGGCCGTTAGTTCAGGCATGTGAGTTTTGCCAATTTTCAGCCTCTGTGGGAAGTAGGTGTGAGGGGTTCGGCTCAGCACTGGGTCCGAGGCATTCCCCTCTTGTTTTCTCCTACATACTTCAACTTCAGCGATGAGCTTCTAAAGTTCCTCAGAAATTAATATGCGAACATACTTCTCAGTGACTGGTGAGCCGAATCCACCACAGGTTCCGAATGCAACAGCGGAAAATCAGAGAAACAAGTGTTTGGGTTTTTAGTTAGTACATTTACTGCCAGTATGGTGCAGAATTCAGTATTTGTCCATTACTGACTGTCTACTGACAGTCCGCGAATACCACTCAGTCGTCCCGCTGAAAATGATGGACAGAAGACAGAATGTGGGCTCTAATGCACATAAAACCCAGAGTTGTCCTCTCAGACGGCAGTGGCCACTGGCGAAGCCAGGGCTGGTGTTGACTGCGTTCAGTCATGCCTGAGAGCCCTTGGGACAGTGGTGGCAGCCGTTTTTGTAGGCTCGAGGGCCAAGCTCAAGTGATCTCCAGTGGTTTGTTTTGCTGGTTGCAGGGGGCGGCACGTGGGCGGCTGCGGCTGTGCGGACGCAGGTATGCCCGAGCTGTTGGTCGTGTGACTTCAGGTCAGTGCGTCTGGAACGGCTCACTGCTAAGGGCTGAATGACCTTGAGGCAGCGATGTCTCGAACAATGACGCCAGACCGATCCTGATGGCTGCCCGCTACAGTCTGAAGCACCTATAATCCAGCTGTGCTGAGTCGCAACTGCGCCTCCCCCACCATCTCACGCGCGTCGACCGCAAACAGGCGTCATCCGTCATCCCTGGGCCCTAGTGGTCGTGCTCGTACTATTCAGCCCATGTACTAACTGATCACGTGTCCGACATGTAGCCAGTCACTTGCTCATGGTGGAACAGACACGTCAGACTCAAGAAAACCATACACCGTCCCCTATGCGCCACCGAACGGAGGCTTTGTTGTGACACGAAAGCAAAAACACAAATCACGACAACCTGCCCTGTGTGTAGAATAAATCGGTTCTCGAACTCTGTGACTTCTGACAAAAGACGGGACGAACTCAGTGTATGTTAGTGCCTCCAAATGGGCGTGACCGATCTCATTAAATGTTGGCTGAAATTCTGAAATGCGTTTTTGATTAGGAAGGATTACTTAGGTGAGACTGCAATACTGATTATCTTGCACCATAATCCTATAATATTTCGGACTCGGTTGGATGTTAGCTTTTTAATTCACTGATTATCAATCTCCTATAGAGTACGTACTCGGTAAAGAATGACTACTTAAGTAGCATGCATTTTTCCTATTGATTTTCGATGATCTCGCAAATTCAAATATATTTTATAGAAAGCCCGAACAAAAATATGCTTTCTTGCAGCCGTTTGATAGCGAATCACGTCATCTTCATATTTTATACTCGAAGAGGAACTATAATTAGGTTTTAAAAAAGTTTCTAATTATGAGATTTTTAAGACCGTGCAATGTCCATTTATACAGAATTGTACTTCTCCGTTTACTACTGCTCCTCCTGACATGTACAACATGGTCCGCATGAATTGCAAAATTTTATGGAACCTATATAGTATCTTCTTAAAGGCATAGAAGAATGTGTGACTTTCTCTACGCGGAACTCATGCACCTTGTAGACTGAAATCACTAAGCGCTAATGCAACGGCTGATTAGGCCCAAAATTATTCGGCAATTAGAAAGCGTTTTTAAAGCCTAATTTTACGCCTTTTTCGAGTACAAAAAATAAACATGACGTGATTCACTACCAAAGGGCTGAAAGAAAGCATATTTTTGTTCGTGTTTTCTATAAACCAGTGTGAAAAATGCATGTTACTTAAGTAGTAATTGCTTCCCAAGTACGGTTTGTACAAAAGATTAAAAAGCAGTGCATTCAAAAGCTAACATCCTACCGAGTCCGAAATATTATAGGATTATGGTGCAAGATAATCGGTATTACAGCCCCACTTAAGTAATTCTTCCTAATTAAAAACGCATTTCAGAATTTTGGCCAACATTCCATGAGATCGGCCATGCACTGTAGATGCGCTGGACCAACACGGGGGCCATACCGGATTCTGGCGTTATCGGAATTGTGCACCATAAGAAAGGCCAACATTTCGGGGTGCGACGGCAGAATCGGCAACCGGCAGACGTCGCGCACACCGGGAACCTTGCCGCCCCGGTGGACTAGGGGGTGTGGACTGGGCCGCCAAGGTGCGGGCTCGACCGCGCCATCCACCTGCGCCCTCCCCTGCTTCCGGTCTTCTTGACTCTGTCTTGACACCGGGTCCAGGTGTGGAGTGGAAATAGGGTGCGGTAGATGCTGTGCAAGTCTACCATCACTATAAACTAACTCACGCACAAGTCCCCGTCCCAGCCTCACCTTGTTGTGAAAAACACGGTGGAGATCGTCAGATACGGCGGTCCAACTGTCGTGTGTGGTCAAAGTTGACAGACACAACTCATTTAAAAGTTGAGCTCTTTGCATTCTTCAACATGTGTCCTGAACAAACGCCTATGCTGACCCTGTAACGGTAAGAACTGTTGCCCATTGACAAGCAGAAATGAATGACAATGCCGATTTTTAACTGGTAGTCTACAGAACGCGAAATCTGTAGATAATTCCACCAAAATTCCCCCAGACGAAAGTAATTAACAATTAGTAGACTTCTGCACACAAACAACGAAATCCATAACACTTACCCCTTTGAAGGTGTATGCCCATGTTCTGTTTGTTAGTGCTGCCATATGTCTAAAGTTGAGTTAAGCAAAAAGGAGTTTAAAAAAGCCAACTGCCGTTCACGTCAGAGTACTTTTAGTAAATGCGTAAAGCGGTGTGCTAGCTTGATCGCTGTGAACGATGAGTTTCAGCATTATCGAAGCATGTATAGTGATTTCGAAGTTGTGATAAACTGTTGACATAAGACTTAAAGACGGCGCCGGTCAGAGAGCATTATGGCACGAAACGTTATACTGACCTAGCTTCCCCTTAAAAGCCCCTGCGTATGAGGACATAACGACATCCGTAGAGAGACCATTCAGATATTCAACTACTCTGTTGGAGTAAAAGAACTTCTGCGAATGCATAGTGACTTCAGTCACGTGTAGTTTGAAAGGATAGACTTTTGGGTTTGATGTGGTTGCTGTTTAGGAGCAGTCTCCAATTGCATTTCTGAGCGGGCATGGGGCGGAGTGTTTGTATCATGTCACCTCGTAGTTGTTTCTGACTCAAAGGGAAGAGATCGAGACTAGATAATTGTACTTCATAGGAGAGTGAGCCCTGTCCAGTCGCAGATTTCGTTGCACGCCTTCGAACTTTTTCGAAAATGCTGAGGTCCTTGGTGGTCCATGGTCTCCAGGCTTGGCTAGCGAACCCCAGTTGCAGCCGGAGTCCGGTTTTCAAAAGTCGAAATCATTGGAGCAACATGACTATGACCTTTAATTCGCCTTCATTGTGTCGAGGGAAATTGTTCGTGGGTGGAAGCTATTATGCGAGTCCTAGGTTCTTGTTACCGGGACTGCCCTCGCCACTACACAGGACAGACCGGACGGCGACTTAGCTCACGATTAGCGGAGCATAAATGGGCGGTCCGGAGAGGCGACCCGTTGCCTCAGGTCGCCATTCACACCCTGGAGGAAGGCCACGAATTCAACTTTGCGAGCACGCGGATAATGGCGCGGGCCAGCAATAAGACAGGGCGAGAACTGTTGGAAGCCTGGGGGTCTGACATCAACTCTATCAACAGACACGTTGAAATACCCCCCTGCTATCACGCGCTCCGTTCCCGCGGCCGGGAGTAGAGACCCAATTCCCAGCCAAGGGTGCACGCAGTCACGCCGCCGTGAGATGGCGTTGACTCAGGCCTATCGCGAACACCACCCCCTGCACTCCTACCCCCTTCTTGGGGCGACTACAAAAACTTCTCATTTGACGCCGCATTCTCAGCCTCTGACGATGGTCTCCTGTACGAGACCGAAAGCTCCGACTAGTGCACGTACTGTTCCAGTGATCACGCGTTTGTCTTCTTTGCAACTTTAATAACTGTGTATCTTTCACTCCAGACAGTTCCATTTTGACTTCTGAGGTTGCATTAAGTGAACATCTTGTCCGCCAAAAAGTGTTCCAACTGGATTCCAGTTAAACCTTCGTAGAGGGTCATACCTTTCTGTTGACTGTTTCGGTCACTACATAGGCCACTTGAATACGACAACCTTATTCAAACGTTAGACTTTGTGCGTTTTACTACTAGTTATAAAGTAATACAATTATATCGCATTACAATGCCCATATTGAATACTCCCGAAGACTAAGCCTGTAACTGCCGCTCCAGCCCCCCTTTTCTCCGGCTCCCTTTTGTCGGTCGATGGCCGCGACAAGTGTTAACAGGCCGTTGACACACGACCACCCCCGCCGGCTAGAACTGGGGCCCCTCCTGTCCAGCTGCAGTGACTCCCGGCTGCCCTCACAAACTATTATCACCTCACGCGCGTCGGACGACCTGGACTGATACCCATGAGCTCCTGTGATAATGCGTTCCCCTAATCCGTCCAATCTCATGGCCGGCACTCGCCCAGTCACCCCCACCGCGACTGACGCTCTCCGTGAACGGACGCTTATCCCTGTTGCAAGCAAACAGCCAACTTACGGCAACCTGCCCTGTGTGCAGAATAAACTAGTCCTCACAGCTCCCTGATTTCTGGCAATAGACGAAACGAAATTATTGTTCGTGGTTTAAGTTGATCTCACCTTCTTGACCGCCACAAGTCCACCTATTTTTGGTCTAACGTTTGATTCGGGATGCGAATTATCTGTACAAGTCTCCATTTGCTTTCATTTGTTGTATAAACACTGCTACGTATGAAGTGAGACTGCTGGGATTTTGGGTAAAGATCTTCGAGATCTGTTCTGCAGATTATCGCAGATCGTTACAGTTGCGTTTAATTAGATGTAGAAACATCGTTTCCATCAAAACCTCTCTGAGTATTTTGGACATTTTGAGATCAGTTAGCACTTATGGAACTAAAGGTCTGCTACATCGGGAAAAGAATGGGTAAGAGCGTAGAAAGTATGCTCATCTTACCTGCGTAAAAAATGTGTCACACGCAGTCAGCAGGCCATACATGACAGCCAATCCAGTGATGCTGAAAATCGAATTGGCCAATCCGACTGCAGCAAACTGGGTATCCCCAAGACGCGCGCAAAAAATTAAGCTGACTGTATCCATGGTGTTGGTTGCAATGATAGTAGTCATCTAAAAAAGGATATGCCATGATAGAGAATACAAAAATGAGCCTTTCACCAGAGCACTATCAAAAAGTAAAAAAATGACTACTTTCTAACTAGTCAGATAGTTTGCGTACACCCTATTGATTGTGGTTAACATAGCAAGTTGTAGCATTGTTCAATCCTGGAGATACCATAGGACAGTTTGACGGCCGCGAACGACGTCCATCCAATGCCCCATGGAATGGCCGAAGGACGCTTTCTTGCAGTAGAATAGTTTTTACAGGAGAAGATTTGTGCAGCGTCAACTCTGCTCCTTCCTCTAAACCCATCCTGTTATAATGGCAAGATAATGTCAGGGCGACAGGAGGTGGACTTGAGCGCGTTGGATACCAAGGTTAAACAGCCCGCTTTCGCGTACAACACGCTACCTAGTGTCGACTATATATATGTTGGACTTTTATAAGGGTAACCTGGAGTAGATGGGCTAACTCATGAAATGTCAACCGAAATTCCGAAATGCGTTTTCGTTCCGAAAAGATTAATTAGGTAGAGTTGTAAAAGTAGCCAGCCTGCAACATAAATCTCGAATATTTCAGTTACATCAGGATGCCGGCTTTCGAATGTACCTCCTTCCGGCTCCATGCCATAACTACACTCTGTAAAAATGACTACTTAATTATCATGAATTTTTCTTGTTGATTTTCGATGCTCCTAAAAGTCCAATTATATTTCATGGAAAACATATATAAAAATATTCATTCTTTTGCTCATTTGGCAGGAAATAACGTCTTCTTCCAATCTTACGAGCGAAGGCAGGGTATAATTCGGTTTTAAATAACTTTTCCAATTCCCGAATAATTTTGAACCAGTTCTACCGTTACACTTGGATTCAGGGTTTCAAAGTTACAAGCCGTATATTTTCCGCGTACGGAAAACCACACATTTCTCTACAGTAACAAGAAGGGGACCATATGGAGTTCATAAAATTTAGCATTGGATTTGATGCATATTGTTAACTTTACAGGACACACTGGCAAATGCAGGGACATGACGATTTATGAACGGCCACTTCACGGTATTTAAAAGTCCCACAATAAGAAACTTTTTAAAACCGAATTATTTCCCTCGTTCGAGTGTAAAATTGGAAGCAGATGTAGTTTTCTACCGAAAGAGCAAAAGAATGAATGTTTTTTTAAATGTTCTCTGTGAAATATAATTTACTTTTTAAGGGCATTGAAAATCAATGGTAAACATTCATGCTACTTAAGTAGTCTTTTTTTACAGAGTATGGTTTTTGTATGCAGCCGGAAGGAAGTTGATTCGTAAGCCGGCATCCTGAGGTAACTGAAATATTATAGAATTATGTTTCAGGCTGACCACTTTTACAACCCTACTTAATTAATCTTTACTGAACGAAAACGCATTTCGGAATTTCGGTTGACATTTCATGAGTTAGCCAAACTACTGTAGACCTGGGATGCCCGAGAATGTCTGAGTAGTAATATTTGGCAGAAAACATTTCAGCTTGGATCTGAGTCCTGAGTGTGGTCGGGTTAGCCCGTCAGTTGTCAGCCTTTCAGACCCCGAGTTTCAGAGCATCGTGAAAGATACATTGATATACAGTGGGAATGGAATTTTCCGTCCTTAACCCTACCCGTTCTTTTTCTCCTGCCGCTCTAATGCACAGGCCTACCCTTCGAACCTGTCAACCGGCTGGTGGTGGAATTAGGTGCAGTGGCGGACGCAGAGTGAGGGCCTTCATCTAGAAGTGACACTCTTATCCCACGTACGGTGGTAATTTTGGGTTTGTTCGAACTCTACGCGGTCTGGTCAATGCGTAGCTTGAGCAAATCTTATTCCGGCCTTTGTTCATATCATCTATAGCGCTGTCCGTTGTGGGGTTAGGTCACAACGATCAATACGCAGTGTGATTTCGTCTTTCGAATTGTTCTCTTACTGGCCGCCGATGCGGTGCGTGTCATATCTACCTGAGACAACTGTGCTAGGCTATCCCTGTCCAGGAGATGGAGTTTGGGACCTGGGTAGGCGTATAAATGCACTCGAGGTTATCAGTCCTATTTATTAGCATAATGTGTATTGAGGCTTGTTCTTTGTTAAACGAATTTGCAGAGTGAATTAAACGCGGCCTTCTGTCAGCGGACTGTTTAAATTGTCTTTGTGTTTTTCTTAACGAAAAAAGAGATGATGTTGTCATTTTCTCCCCATAAAATGGCTACTACTCATTCAAACTTGATGTGACGATAGCTAAATGAAATGTTTGCATCAGTTAGTGCACAGACAAACAGTTATTTGTCAGTCGTAGGAATACTTACGATAGGGAGTGCGAGTTTGGACAATGAGATGAACTCTGATTTGAGACCAGATGGGAAGAGCCTTCCCAGGCACCCGCCGAGCATATGACTGTCTTCATATTCAGCCTCGTCTAAAATTAACCCTTCATTTTATCCCTCCGATAAAATAGGAAAGCGAACTCACAATATAAAAGAAAGTAGGTCATTTTGGCAAGAATGTAAAAACGAGTAAGTCTGCAAGAAAACAAACCCAGCAGATGCTAACTTTGAACGTCCTCAGAACTGAGTTGCGACATTATAGAACATTATGGAACTTAAGAATGTCGCAATACCTCAAAGTCTAGAGGAAAACGTCATTGGAGCCCATTATCGACCACTTTTTGCATTCAGTTTAGCAAACAAAGACTTGAAGATTATTCACTAACTGCGTATCCCATGTTTAGCCCAGTAAACTAAAGAAATGGCATCGTGAAATTGAAAAATATACCTCTTGCAGCAATGTGTCTTTATTGTCAGAGATCCGAAAACTCAACAGTTTAGTGAAGAGAATGCACAGAACAGGCTCCTCTTTCTTCAGGAATTACAAATTTATTTGTCAGACCACAGATTATTAGGCTTTTTTGACTTTGAATTTATTTTAGACATTTAGCCTAAACATTTCTTATCATTACTCTGTAGTTGAGAAACCTGCTCTAGGAATTTAATGGAGTTATCCCCATGAGAACGTAGGAACTTCAAGGAAAATGTGCGCTGAGAGATTTGACGAAAAAATATAATATTATAGAAGTGCAATCTTTGTAAATGCTGCTGTATTTAACATACGATAGATGCACTAACTAATGAAATGTTAACCGGAATTCTGAAATGCGCTTTCGAATCGAAGAGATTACTTAAGTAGGGTTGTAATATTAATTGTCGTGCAGTATAATCCCGAGATATTTCAGACACTTTGGGATGCCAGCTTTTGAACGAACTTCCTTCCGGCCGTCTGCAAAATCCACACTCTGCAAAAACGACTAATTAACTAGTATTGGTTTTTTATCGTTGATTTCCGATGCCTTTGTAAATTCAAATATATTTCATAAAAATACGTGCATCAAAATATTCATTATTTCATTTCATTGGTAGAAAATTACGTCCTCTTCAGAGTCTATACTTGAGCAAAGGGTACAATGAGGTTCTAATAACTTTTCAAATTCCTGAAAAATTTTGAACCCAACTTGCCACTACACTTTTATTTAAGGTTTCCGTGTACGAAAAATCATACATTTCTACACGCTTCTAGGAAGAAACCATGATGGGTTCGTAAAGTCTATTTAATTTAATTAATTTGAGCCATATTATAAACGACAAGCGACATTAGTAAATACAGAGATACGATGTCTTATGAACTGGCATTTCACGGTTTTATAAACATTTTAATGCCATGTTATACACTTCGTCCAAGTATAAGCTTTAAAGAGGACGTAATTTTCTACCAGAGAAGTGAAATAATGAGGATTTTAATGTACGTTTTTTGTTAAGTATATTTGAATTTGTAGGGGCATCGACAATCAACGATAAAAACCCATACTACTTAAGTAGCCAATTTTCGAGTCTAAAACGCATTTCCGAATTTCGGTTAGCATTTCATGAGTTAGCACATCTACTGTATAATTACCTCTGGCCCTCTCTGCATGCTACTCACCAGATAAATCAATGTCCAAAAAGGTCTCGACTCTGAAGTCGTCAGCCGATTTGATCACAGAATTGTGTTCGCGTGATCTTCCCATGTTTAAGTGCACCTCACGACCCGCTTTGCCTGAGCAGTGAACTGGCTCACTGTCTTCTCGCCTCTATGAGTGCTGTCCTCGACCAATGGTAATTGTTCAAAAGCTGGGACTGGCTGCAAAATGTGTAGTCAACCCCTACTCTGGTTGCTGAAGGTAGGTATAATGTTGTAAACACTGGTCACAACTGCATCGGTCGATTGGCAGCTGTAGTCATGCTTTGAAGAGGCAGCCTCTCGTGACCATTGTCGAGACAAGGCAGGACTTGGGGGTCAGCCAAAGTTTACGTGCTTGAGAATAGACATCATGTCCTAGGTCGTTCTCCATCTCATACTCCCCTGCTGTCTGAATGTGTTCATTTGCATCTTGTGTAGTTGTTAAACTGTCTACAGACTTACTATAATGCTGGTGTACAACGCCGATGCTGTGAAGGTAGCGGGTTCAGCCTCGGAGTAATCAACTGTTCCTCAATCCTCTCGGGCGGTCGCGTGCATACAGTAGGTGTGCTAACTCACGAAATGTCAACCGAAATTCCGAAATGCCTTTTCGCTTCGAAAAGAGTAATTAAGTAGAATTGTAAAACCACTCATCATGCGGCATTATTCTACAATATTCCAGTTACTTCAGGGTGCCGGCCTTCGAATAACCTTTTTTCGGTTGCATGCAAAAAATATACTCTATAAAGAAGACTACTCAAAAAGCATGCATTTTTCTCATTGATTTTTGATGTCCTTAAACATCCGATCACATTTCATAGAAAACATGCAGATAAATATTCATCTTTCACTCATTCGGCAGAACATTGCGTCTTCGTCCAAGTTTATACTCAATGGAACGGTATTATGCGTTTTACAAAAGCTTCTTATTGCGGCATTTTTAAAACCGTGAAATGGCCGTTCATAAAACGTCATGTCTCTGCATTTACCAATGTGGCTTGTAATATTAACAATATGGCTCAAATCCACTATTAAATTTTATGAACCCCATATGGTATCCTCTTAATGCGGTAAAGAAATGTATTGTTTTGCTTGTGAGGTAAATATCCGGCTTGTAGTTCCGAAGTCCCGAATGCAAGTGTTACGGCAGGTCGGGTTCAAAATTATTCGGAGATTGGAGAAGCTTTTAAAAACCGAACTATTCCTTTCTTTTGAGTATAAAATTGGAAAAAGACGTCGTTTTCTACCGAATGAGCACCAGATTGAATTTATGTACGTTCTCCATGAAATAAAATTGGATTTTTAAGGACATTAAAATCATGAGAAAGTCCGTATACTGTTCTTCCCTGGCCCCACCCCATACGCAGAGGGCAAAGAAAAACTGCCAGACCGTACCACCTCTATGTTCATTTATTCCTTCATCTGCTCCTCTGAGGCTGAATACATTGGTGGTAGGAGTCTGGATTTGTCCAAATACACAAGGGAACATCTTCCAGCTTGTTAAATGGTCAAATTTAAGACATTACCAGCTCTGTCCTCGCTCACGTGGTAGACACAGACAACCGTGTAGATGTCAGAGAGGCTTTTTGAATGATTTTCTAGGTGCTGCCGAGCTATCCAAAAGACCTTGGGTGGCGCCTGTTGGCTACGGCAGAGGCGCCTGCAATCAGGTCACGCCAACTGATCTTGTGCGCATAGAAGAAGTTCATACAGCTCCTACAGTTGCCATGGCCCAAGGTCGTCAAGTCGTATCCACCTTCCCCCTGACACTGAACATAACTTTGGTGTGTCAGTTCCCCCTTCGAATTCAAGATATGGCATGATTTTGTACTTGACCAAATATTTTCATTTATTATTTCAATAGCAATATAGTCATAAAGAGAATTTATCACAAGTACACAAATGCTTACCAAACTCTTTATGAAAAGGCTAATTACTTGGTGGTCAGAATGAAATATACCTACTCCTGACTGAAATCCATAACTGTATGTTCGATACTTACTTCCATTAGGCAGGGACGCACGCCTGTTTAAGGACCTCGGGAATTACCTTTCCAACTATGCCATTTTCCTTAAACAACAGTGGTTCAGGGGATCTTTAATTACCTACCCCGAAAAGACGAATTTGAAGCAACTACGCCTTTCTTATTTACTTGGCGATATCGTACGTCATCGTACGTACCTGAAAACCTCAAACGATGAAATAATTTGGATTCTCTTCTATTGGTATGGAATGGTAGTTAATCACCATGACATGCGCAACGAAGGTCCACCATTTAAGCGATTCAGGGTTCAGCATGAAGTTACCAGTTGATAAATGTGTGTTTTAATGTGAAACGGAACTACTGTTGGGTGGTTCTGCTGATATTTTTATTCGCAGGCATTATGAAGTGCATCCATTAATGACGGTGGGGTAGTGTCAGGGATTGTCGCGCTCAGGGGATGCAGTGTAATCCGGGAGTTCATTTTAAGACCATTAGTTAAAGTTCAGGGAAACTAAATTTTTTAACTACTTGAATAAATTTAATCTAAAGCTGAATGTTAATAAATTTTTTTTAATTTTGATGTTTATAGTCATATGCCCTCAAAGTCGCGCATAAGTCGTTTCTCCTGCTCGTAGAGCAAAGGCCTACTGTGAAATGCGCATCCGCGGAGACTGCAGTGCTTCCTTCTGCTTACAGCTGAACACATTCTTGGGTGGATCACGTGACGTCGTACAACCAAGTCCGAACAGAACGTGTCCGGGAGAACTAGCGAAAGGGAGACACGCTACCCTCTGGTTTTGAACAGAAACAAATCATATGCAACTGTCTGTTGCGAGTTCTGCTGATTTAACTTAAAAAGAAGATGTTAGACACACCTGAGGTTTCACATGTGAAATCAGACTATGCCCATGATATACACGCACGTCTAATTAAATGCCTGCAAGCAGGTTCATTTCTCCAACTGGTTGACAGGTTCGGACGGTCGCCTGGTTCGAGGAAGATGGAAGAGATAGAGGAGGGGGAGAGAGCGAGTGAAACCGGCATTGGGAATCCATTCCGATGGCAAATCAGTTCATTCGACACCATAAAGAATCTAACCCGCTTGTATTTATCACGAAACATTAAGAACTGACAGGATATCTCGAATCATGTGGCCAGTACTGGGTGTGGATGTGGGTGACCGACTGAAGGACTCAGATTCGATCTCAATGACTCCTTCTCATTGTGGCCATTTAGGCGCTCGCACTGATGAGAGATTACTGCCGGCTGGTGTATGCGACTGCGACCAAGTTTCATGTGGTTGCGTAGCCCAGTTATGCACTGCGCGAGAGCCCATCTCTAATCGCCTCGACATTGTTTTGTTGTCGGAGCCTGGCGAATGATGGAGGGGAGAGTTTGGTAGATGCTGCAAAAGTCTGTTTATTACAAACTTATCTATGCGTCCACATCGTAAGGCAGGGGGTGTACGTGGTCGCTTTTGATAAAAGTGAAACTTTGAGCACTTTACAGCACAAAAAACGAGTGAAAACAACTAAAATTTTGGGCAGGTAGCTTCACACCCCCCTACACGCTATAGGTAACCTACGTAATGAAATGTTAACCGGAATCCTGAACTGCTTATTTAATTAAGAATCATTGCTTAAGTGATGTCGTAAGATTGATTATCACGCAGTATAATCCCACAGTGTTTTAGTCATGCGAGAATGCTGGTTTTTAAATGAACCTCTCTCTGGCAGAATGCAGAAATCATACTCAGTAAAAAATGACCACATAGGTGGCACGATCTGCCCAAAAATTTTCAATAATCTTAGAAATTCAAATATATTTTAAAGATCTCGCTCATAAAGGGTATTTACTTAACGACATAGAGGTCTAAATGATTACGTAGAAAGTGTCTCGTTTGTATTTCGGGGTCGAAATACAAAACGCAACGACTGATTAGGCTCAAAATAAGTCGGGACTTGTAAAGGTTTTTTTGTAAAACAAATGATGACCATTTCGAGTACTCTGCTACTAATCGTTGCTGTTATATTCTGAATCGATGCTGGCCACTTTGTTGTATCTCTTATTCATACGCAGTTTTTAGTAATTCCTTTGCTGCTCACTTACGAACTCTGACTATTCTCAGCTTTTTTGAGCCGATGCTTGTTAACATGCAGTCGATTTCCGTTTAGATGGTTCCTGAAAATATGTCTGACCAGTCAGTAGTTGAAGCTGCCTCGTCTCCAGAATTTTGCGAGTTTTGGAAGTCAGTGACATCGGAGACCTACCTGGGCGGTAGATAAGCCTAACTCAATATATCTCAGACCTTACCCTTGCTGTCGTGGGTTCGAATATCACCGAGCTACTGTGCGTGACCGATTTGATGAAATGTTGGCCGAAATTCTGAAATACGTTTTGGATTAGAAAAGACTACTTAGGTGGGATTGTAATGTTGCTTACCAAGCAACATACTCCCATAGTATTTAGGACACGCTAGGGTGTCGGCTTTAGAATCCACTTCATTTCGACCTCCCATAGAAGCCACGCTCGGTAAAAATGACTACTTATTTTACATGCGTATTTCACACTGATTTTCGATGGTCGTATCAAGTCAAATATTTTTTGTGGAAAACGCGCACAAAAATATGCTTTCTTTTACTTGTTTGGTAGAAAATAACATAGTTTTTACATTGTATACCCGAAGAAAACGTGTATTTAGGTTCTGAAAAATATTTTCAATTCCCCAATAATATTGGGCCAGATCAGTCGCCACTTTTCTATTTAGCGATTCCATTCTACAAGGTGCGTGCTTTCCGCACAAGAAAAATCATATATTCTTCTATGCCTTTAAGAAGATACCGTGTTGAGGCCATAACACTTTGCTATGAATGTGGACTATGTTGTACATTTCACGAGGAGCATAGGTAAGCGGAGATGTGCGACACTGTATGTATGGACATCGAACGGTTTTAAAAATGTCATAATAAGAAACTTTATTAAAACCTAGATAGACGTTTTCTTTGGGTTTACACTGTAAAGACAATGTTATTTTCTACGTACGTGTTTTTATGTGTGTTTTCCACAAAAATATTTGAATTTAT